ATGAACCTTACATTTTGTTCACAAAGTACTTCTCCAACTTTGCAGTACTTGCACCTTTATCCGGTTATTTGCGGCCAATGATCATATTTGTCACACCACATCATCCATGGTTTTTCACTGAAACTTTCGACCTGTTTCGGTAGGCCACTTAGATTTCATATCTAAAATCTTCTAACGATCCTGCTTTCTAGTGGTGTTTATCATTTTGTTATGTCTGTGACTAAAGCCCTTGCCTACGAGTATATCCACTAGAAAATTTTCTTCCACCTTCTCTTATTCCAGTGCGATATAATGCATCAGCATGTCTGCCAAATCGACACCTCTAAAGTGACATTAGTCTTTAACAATTTTAGGACATTTTACATCAACACGAGATTTTGCTTCTTTGCCGAATCGTTTTATATTTTCGACAGGGTATGCATCATCATAAAACTCACCAATGTGACCTGTTTATTTCAACCCACTTGACAATACTAAGTATATAATATTCTTTCTTTTTCAAAGCCTTTTCAGTTAGCAGGTTAGTACATCTTTGAGTCTATTTTGTATTTTGTCTGATTGTTCCTAAACTAAATATACCATAATTTTCCCTCAACATAATTTATAGCATCTTAACCCAAAGTAAAAGAAACTGCAAACCCATCGTTATAGTAAACCAAACCATATTGTATTATAGATATATATTTATATATCAGTTATGTAGTATTTCAGTAATAATAATATGTGTATTTTTTGTGGGAATCGAACCCCAACTTTGTGTGTAGCTTTCTACAACCACTATTCAACGAGGCAGTCAAACATAATTCAACTGTCTTTTAAATTGTAATAAAATTGGTTTAATATATAAGACAGACATACTTGCAATTTAATTTTTATAGTAAAGTCCATTAAAATATTCATTCCGTGCAGTTAGCAATGTATATTATTCTATACACCATCAACGAAAGGTAAATTGCTGCAACTGCGGCATTGTATAGTATAATATACGTTAGTAAAAACACGACAAAAACATACTAATTCTCATAGCGACAACAGCATATATATAAAAATGTGTTAAAACAAACATTTAGGCATGTGTATTTTATAAAAAACATGCATATTTAGGAGTACAAACATAAAAATAAAATAAAACTTACTATAGATAAAACCTGTGCGGCGCATTTTGACGTTTATTTTTCACAATTGATTTAAAATTATGACAGATAAACTACTATTTTTATTTTTGAAGTATAAATAGACGTCTAGAAATGTCATGTGTTTAATAAAACTAAGTTAAAAATGATTTTATAGTGATCATATATTTTTATAAAGTTGGATGTATGGTATACTATACAAAATGACGATAAGGGTTAATAAGCAAGCCTTCTGTGCATGACACGAGCTTTTAGGTCTAGGACATGCTGGTTTCCTCATCATGTTTTCTTTCACCGTACGAACGAGTGTTAAATGCGCACTTAAAAAATCCATCGGTTCACAGCTAGGGTTCGAACCTTCGACCTTCGAATGAAAGTCTTATTTTGCAGTGTTGATACAAATACTTATTTTGCAGTGTATTAGTAAGTAATATATATGTATGATATACATATATCATGAATTTAAAATCTGAGATTGTAATTTATAATTTCATCTCGAAACCAAAATTCCGTCGAACACAAACGTATTTTTTTATTAAATATATGTTTTTATATAACCCTTAATAGCGATTAAACGATACTCGGATGCGTACGATTTATTTACGCGTGTTTTGACCCTAAACACTATTGCTTTTGAGACGGATATATTTAGTTGCACACTGACTGAATTCACAAGATGTACCTAGTTATAAAATGGTTTAGGTTTTAAGTTTTAATTGTTATGTTTATATTATGTTTTTAGTTTAGTTTTCTATTGTATTAGTATTAAGTTACTGTAAAAATAGGAAATAAGGAAAATAAATAAATAAAATAAAAAATGTGTGCGTGTACTAGGTGTACACACGTAAGAAGTGAAACTTTTTATGACCTTATTAGAAACTATTTCTTTAAACACAGTAAATTTTGATACACTGCCTAGCATACAATTTACAAATTAATTGCTGCAAATTGCGATTAGCAAATTTCAAGTTGAAAATGTAATCCGTTGTCAAACTTCAAAGTCAAAAACATACTATACGACATATTTTAACGCCGATAAAGAAGTTTGACTTCAAAAAGCAACATGGCGCGTAACGGAAAAATGTGACGCGTAACGCAAAAATGTTACACTAAATTTTTTTCCAACCCCGATAAAGAAGTTTCACTTCAAAAACATTCCAGCAAAACAATTATTGTTACGAGGTGCTAAGCACAGTAGGATGTTTACCTACAGCCTTCTCTGAACGAAGCTGGAAAAATGTGTCCCAATGCCCCACTTCATAAAACACATATTGCACAATATAATTATGAACGTTTAACAATCATATTTTGCTGATTACAGATTATATCAAATTTTATCAAATACCTTGGAAAATAACTTGGAAACAAAATACATTTGCCCTCATGTCTGTTTTACGAAATTAAAAAGATATATTTTATATCGATTTACAGTCTTTTAATAAACTTACGAATTAAGTCATATTAAATAAATATCCTTTATATACCTTTTATATGTAAATTTGATTTCAGATGCTGTACTACAAATTCACAACAGCACCCACACGTCGCATTTCTATAACGCCGAATCCAATATTCTCGACGACGATATGGCATAGCGGATCGTCAGAAATTATTATGCGGCAATTTGAACCAATTAATGACATTAATTCAAAAAATGAGGAAAATAACTCAAATGAAGATATAGAAACCACGCAATCTATTTCACCTGATATCAAAATTATCGTTGAAGATAGCCCCAAGAGGTGAGAAAATTTTTCCTATACTGGCGCCTATGGACAGCACCAGTATACTTTATGTAAGATAAAATAAATCAGTGGCGCTACAACCTTTTCAGGTCTGGGCCTCAGATTCTGTATCTGTTTCATGATTATTTGTTAATCTAATAGGCACACCTTTAAGTTGTTGGGTCTAAGGCAAGCCGGTTTGCTCACGATGTTTTCCTTCACCGTTCGAGCGAATGTTAAATGCGCACATACAAAGAAAGTTCATTGGTGCAGAGCCGGGAATCGATTCTACGACTTCAGGGATGAAAGTCGCAAGCCCCTAGGCCAACGCTGCTCAATACTTTATACATTTTAAAAGCGCTGAAAATATTCCGAACTGACTCAAATGGGTATTTAGTGATTCGATATATATCCTTTATATATATCGAATCCTATCGATTCCAGTGCACCATAAATTTATGTGAACTTAACGGAAGTTGTTACTGATACCATTACGTAGTTATATTATTAAACTTCAAAAATCAATTGATACATGACGTGCTTTCGCAATAAAAAATAAGTTGACAAACGTTTAAATGCGCGGAAGTAATTTTATGTTTTTTTTTTATTTTTTGTATGAATTTTACGAAAATTGTCATAGATTTTAGATAAGACAGCTTGTAATATATACCGTCGATATAGTATTATGTATGATATGGTAAAAATAAATAAATAAGTGTGTGAACTATTCACTTAAACGCTTGCTACACTACGTGCTATGTTCGTAAACTATGCTAAATGTAAACGATGTATTAAGATGTGACCAAATTAATGTATTTTGATTTTTAGTAATGAGCCAAAAATGCGAGAATGGAAACCATCTCCAAGACCAGTTGTACACGATTATTTAACTGAAGTGGATGAAGACGCAATAGTTTACAAGGCTGTTTAATATAATTTTATTTTTTCCTAAGATGTTTCTTTTTGTGTATTCTTAACATTATTTCCTTAACAAAAACTAATCACTTTCATTTAATACATCATTAAATTTCATAATCCAATTTTTTAAATATTAGATTTTTTTGGGTTTAGGTGAAAATACTATTAAAAATGTATGTTAAGATTGGTAATAATATTATTAAGCGTGATAGATAAAAATTTAGTTTAATACCACGGATTAGTTGGTTGTTGAACCAAATAACATCGTTATTCAAAGGAGAAGTTGTGAAAATCGAAATTGTGTTTGCCAAAGGCAAGTAATATATCTTAAACGACTGGACCAAAATCCCAACGGAAATACAGGAAGGACTGTATATAATTCACTACGTGTAACTAGAATTTCGTGTACAGAGGACAACACTCAGATTTGTATGCTTCAATTGAAAGATATCCGTTTTTGATTGAATAAAGCCTATGAGAACTGAGCTGGGTAAAGCAAGTCTGTGTACATGATAATAATTAATTTATAGATGTTACAAACAATATAAATCTACCATGAATATAAATATAAATAATCATGAAGTCCAAATGCTCGGAACGGATATTTTATAAATTGACGGATAGTTTATTTATCAATCGCCACATTGAATATCAATTCGCTATGGTTTTAATATAACTTTACACTGTTTCGATTTGCCAATTTTACTTATTTACGCTATGTTATCAAATATATAATGAGAGTATGGTAAAGTATTTGTGATTTTACTTCAAATCAAAGTACAGTCAAAATCTGTAAAAACGACATCGAAGGGACTACTCGTATTTGGTCGTAAAAACCGATGACGTTGTTATTAATTATTGGTCATTAATAACAACGTCATCGGTTGTTACAATATAATTCAAGACAGCCGTGACTTTGTTATACTTCTTATTGTTCCTATACTTTCCCTATCATACGACTGACAATTATGTGCCTTTTGGAGTTTGAGTAAAGGAAATATCGATTCAGGAAATGTTAACAAATTATGTATGAACGGCCACCGAACCGTTTTTCCTACTGCATCAATGTTTTATAGATCCACCTGTTAGAATACATTGGAAAGGAATTGTCAGAATATATTAATTTTCTTATACAAATATTTATTAATAACTCTTATTAAGTTTTCGAGCCTGAGTTAGATTCACGGGCATTCAATGCTTATTCCGTTCTTGAATACTTCACTATCTAACTCTTCTTGTAGTTTAATGTATCATCATCCAGACTCGTCTCTTCGTCCCTATTATCACTACCAACTGATATGTGACCATTGTCATGGTGTTTATTTAAGGATAGCAGTAATGGTTTTTTCCTTTTTGCTTTGTCTGTTTTATACATTTTCTTGCCTATCACCGATTGGTCACTGCTTATTTCTTCTGTGTTCTCTTCTTGATCATCTTTCTCTCTGCTCCATGAGGAATAAAGGTCTATTAGCTTGGCGGGTTTAGGGTTTACTCCTAAAACCCCGTGTAAATATTCTGTTAACGCTTTAGGAATTTCATTATATAAATAACCAGTTATAAATGAATTGGCGTTCATTCGTTCTTCTATATTCCCTTTAAAATCCATTATTGACAGCTCTATTGACCTGTAATAACATTATTTATTATACAAAAAAAGTGGAGTGTGGCTGTGTAATAGAGGCCGTGTGTTGTAAATGAATACATATATGTATTATCGGTTATAAGCTATCGCTTATAACCGATAATACATTTTCACGATTTTAACGACAACTGATGAATACACGAACATCATAGCTTCTCAGAGTCAAAAGTGAGTAAACGTTTAAGTTATCTTGTCGATATGCAGAAAAATAACCTCAAAATAGCGGCGTTTCCGCCTCCACCGAGCGCAATGCGTCACTGATTTTGCTTGTTATTAAAGTTTTGATCCTTTATTTATCCTATAGTTAAACTATAAATTTTATTTATTTATATATAAAAACAATCCTAGATGTTATGTCCCCAACATATTATATTGGGGATGTAGCTTAGAATCTATCCTATTTACCCCGATTTTGTTTTCATTAGTTTGAGGATTGCCCCCGTATGATTTAAAAACGTATTCACGTCAATATCAGTTATTGATTCTAACTAAAACTCAAAATATTTTTATTCATATAGGTAATCAAGTACAATTATGAACGTCAGCAGAAAGGATGTTAAATTAATTCTAAATTTACATTTACTACCGCTTCGAAAGTCAAGGGCGTAGAGCGGGTAACAAGAACTGGCAAGAAACTCTCCGCATAAAAAGCTTTATCGAGCTTCATTGATCAATAAGGTTATTAATTAATACTGACAATCTAATCTAAATTTTCTTACATAAAATGTTCGGTCTTATTAACTATGATTACTCTCAATAACTTTCAATTAAAACCATGATAGTATATTTAGGTTTAATACAATACATACCTCCAATCAACAAAATGAGAGTCCTGTACTTGATTACTGAAACCCATTTCAATGGCAAATGTTACATCGTCTATTTCAGCGAAGAAATTATGCGTAAATTTAATAGTTTCATTTTCAAAATGTACCTTTCCACGTACCTAAAGAAGAGAGAAGAGTATCTTTGTGCACTTAAAATACTTATTTATAAACTTAGCTTTGGATTTTAGTATATTCATTAAGGACCGATCTGGTCGCCAAACTCCAAAAAAGTACATTGTTTCTTTCCATTTTTCGTCATCGTTTCTTGAAGTAGTGCAAATGAAAAAAAATATATGGTGTAGTTGAGTAGTTTATGTATCCAGTTTGAAAGATCGATACACGATTTAAATAACTTCGCTCGATAGAAAAAAATCCAAACATAGCCAATTTTTGACACTTCGAATTCATTGTTTGACGATAATGTATACAGAACATGATTTTGAAATTTACTCGATATATTTTGGCTTGCGATAAAACATATCCATTTCAGAAAAAAAATTGATAAAATTACATTAATTTAATGTTTAACATAACTAATTGTTATTACGGTCCGGCACGCCTCAGTGCTCCAGCTCTCCACTATGACCTGCAGTCCACCCCGAGACACTGACACAGGAATTCGGATAGGGGATCGGGCCTTAACTTTAAAATTTATAAATTACTAGCTGATCCGGCAAACGTCGTTTTGCCATGTTTATAATTTATAATAAAAATAGGGGTTGATCGTAGAGGGGTGAAAATTAGGGGTTGTATGTATTTTTAATGCTGTATCATAAAAAAAAAAGGGTCGTTACTTATGTAGCTAAAAGTTATACTTCTTTGGCATTATTAAAAATAGTTTTGATTGCATGCAAATAATTAATTACAATTAAATAATCAAAATGGAAAAAGTCATTATAGTCAATTAAGTTCAGTTTACATTTGAAAAATTAAATAAATAATTATTATTTATTATTATTCTCTTACATTAAGTGTAACATAAATTCTATGTAGTTAAAAGTATATATAATTATATATTTAGAACATCTCTACCAAACACTAAGAATATTTGTAGCTTTGGCAGTATTGCACAATATAAAATTAATAAATTTCTTTGAAAAAATAATCAAAACTCCTTTATTTGTTTAAAAGGTAAATGACAAATGCATATGGTCATTCAAAATTCGCATACGAACTTCACGCATATTCTATTTCTTTTTACTTGTAGATTGTCTTATTCCTATCTCCCGCGCACGCTATAATCACACTCCCAATTTTGTGTCATAGGTGCGCGCGCATCGTAAAATTTCACTCTCATAAATTTTTCATAACGCGCCTAAAAAGTATAACTTCAAAAATAAAAAATTATCTAAAAATAAAAATAAATTAGGGGTGGACACTACCCTTAACATTTAGGGGGATGAAAAATAGATGTTGTCCGATTCTCAGACATACCCAATATGCACATAAAATTTCATGAGAATCGGTCAAGCCGTTTCGGAGGAGTTTAACTACAAACACCGCGACACGAGAATTTTATATATTAGATAACATAAGCTGGCTACTTTTCTACGGAGTTGCTCAATGATAACATATCTTTGACATGTAAAAGTTGTAAGTATAGTAAATAATTTTACCTGAACATAGTTAAAAGTTAAAGCTTCACCGATTTTCAAACTCTGCAACTTGAATGGTCCACCTCTATGTGCCGAGAAGACCGAATCTAACCCATAGACAGTTACATCGTTTACACCGACATGGATGGGGCACGCTTTTTCAACGCACTGGAATTATACAAATTCTGTTTAAAGAAAAAGCTTTGATTCGTGACTTATGTATTTCATAGTTTGCTACTTAACAGTCATTGTTCTATCGAGACAAAAATACCTCTTATTAAGGAATACTCAGACAAGTTAGCAGTTATTTTTACTACTTTCAGATAAGCCGTATCTGTAGCATATTGTGAATTATAAGAATATTAATAACAGCGAAAAGAGCAACTGGTTATGATATATCAACTCTTTCAATTGAACCGATTTGGATCATTTGTTGGTGTTTATGTGGATTCGAGAATGATTTAGATTTATTTTAATTTGAAATTTTCGTATCTTAGACGTGTGTACAGGACAGCGTCTGTTCGTTTTGCTAGTAATATATAAATAATAAACAATCATTAATATGCTTCCGGATTTGCTTAGGCTGTATGTAATTTTGTTAAATTTTACTTCTTCTTAAAAAATAAAAACAAATTCCATTCATCACTCGGTCTTCCTAAACGTGTCATTAATATATCCAGGTGGGTATATTAATATAATATAATATAATATAATATAATATAATATAATATAATATAATATAATATAATATAATATAATATAATATAATATAATATAATATAATATAATATAATATAATATAATATAATATAATATAATATAATATAATATAATATAATATAATATAATATAATATAATATAATATAATATAATATAATATTACATCAATATAATAGGTGCCTGTCCTGGCGGCGTCGTCGTCTGTCAGAAGTAAATCCGCTTATGTTCTCGCTACTTAACCGTTTTCTTAGTTGTTTACCAGTACTGGATATATTAATGACAGGTTTAGGAAGACCGAGTGATGAATAGAAGTTGTTTTTATTTTTTAAGTACAAGTAAAATTTAAAAAAAATTTGTTCATAAAATGTGTTAACTTATATTATATTTCTTGTTTGGCGTCTATGCTGTAATTGAATAAAAAAATATTATAGCGTGTACGTTTTAGTATTCTTAACCTCTGAAGAGTGAGCCCCTACTATACCTATATACCTAAGCCAATTTAATTTGTGATCATAAAAACGCCAAAAAATATCACAAATTACATAGACAAATTTGTGGATAAGTGAGTGCAATGAAATTACAAGCTGTAACCGTCTCGGTCTTCATCACTTACCACGTTCCATGTGATATGGTATGGTTGTAATCCCGTAGCAGCCTTATTCAATTGTATAGACTGTTTATTTAAACTCCTTATAAGTTTGAGTATATACTTCGATGATTCTTTGAACATTTTACGTTGGGATTTCCTGTTATAATAAACTTTAGTCAGTTTTCAGATTTAATATTGGTTTATTCTGTATTTCCGTAGAGATGACAGGATGTTCTCCATGGTGTAAAGTTTATAAATCCACATGCAGCCATCTTTACGACAATGGATGGCGTTAATATAACCTGATTTGTCACCCTCTCGCAGTGGCGTAACAATAGGGTGGCAGGGCTGGCAAAATGCCACGGGCCCCCGACCCAAGAGGGCCCCTGCCCAAGAGATATTATGTTCTCTGGATGAATGTGAAGTCTCCAATACGCATTGGGCTAGCGTGGGGACTACAGACCATTCCATCTCGCCTAAGAGAAGAGGCCTCTGGCCATTAGTGGGACATATACAACGTGTAATTGAGTACGCTGAAAATCTCGAAGTTTATTAAAATGTGACGATTTTTACTGATAGGGCCCCATCAAAAGAATTTGCCACGGGCCCCAGATGGTATATATGGCTCTCGCTGACGTCGATGTAATAAATTCGCCTTTAAATGCGTGAAATAAGATTTGATTTAATATTTAATTATCCTAGTAATATAGATGTAAAGCAGTGTTGGCATAGTGGTTTAAGCGTGCGAGGTTCGATCCCCGGCTGTGCATCAATGGACTTTTTATCTATGTCCGCATTAAACATTCGCTCGAACGGTGAAGGAATAATCGCGAGGAAACCCCACAAAGTCTACAACGTGTGTCAGGCATAGGAGGTTGATCATCTACTTTCTTATTAGATTAAAAATTTATCATGAAACAGATTTCTGAATACAACCTTTTTATTTTTTTAAATTAAAAGGTCAAAATAAATAATTTAATAATTAAATAGCAAGTCAAGTTTTCCTATTGTCTAGAGACTTTAATACGAACACAATCGGATTGACCTGAATCATTAAACTAGGTGCAAGTTCAAGAAGGAGCTCAAAATTTCTAGTTAAGATTGTTAAAAGCGAACTTTACAGGCCTTATTCTGTAACTTCCAATGGCGATATCGACCAACGATAATTAAAGTAATTATAGACAAATCTAAAATAGACTGTAGAACAAACTATAACCCTCATGGTAACAAATGTTACACATGTATCAAGCCCAAAGACAAAGTAATTTGTACGGTTCCTGGGTCATCGTGGTGCTTAATAATAGAGAAAATTTTTTTTCTCTAAATTAACCACTCGCGTACAACAATAGAATGTAACGAATGAATGCAATGTTACAGTTGAAGAGAGTGCCTACGTCTGGTTATACTCTCGGGGCGTAACTCTGACGATTTATGAAATCGCCACGCTTATAAAACTAAGAAAGCCTGAGTGAGAAAAATATATAGCCTTGGCTCGTATATAATTATACAAATTATTACTATGGAAACGCTCTAACTGTCACGGTAATTAAAATTTTGACGTCGGACATCTTTGCGATCGCAACGTTGTAACATCAGCGCTACGGATATTGGTAACTACAACTAAATTGCATACAAAAACGTCGGAGTCAGTATCGCTGTCCTTATTGGACTACAGTAAGTGACCAGCTCAAGATTATCCAAATAGTAGTATAGAAAACAAATCTTTGAGTTGCCTGGCTATGTAGGAGCATGTTTTTCGCCAAATTTAAATAAGAGAGTCATTCAAATTAATTTTACCCAGGCTAATGCTAGGTAAAATAAGTTCACTTACTTATTATAGTATACATAATAAACCTCTTAATTTTTTTTAAATTGCTCTAAAAATTAATCAGAGTCAGAAGTATGATCAGAGCTGGCGCTTTCTCGCATGTTTGTTTTATTAAATGCAATAGGCTGCCTTATTGCTAAGAACCGACCGATTCTAGGCAATGATATTAAATAAAAATTATAATAAAGTGTATGAAGTGCGACACAAGGTAAAAATAGTGTACAAAAATTGAAACAAAATAAAAACTAACATACTTAATTACATTCACATACATAACGTAACCAACGTTCGAATTGTAAAGAATTAAGATTATCTTTTTTCTTAAAAATTTAAAATCTATAAAAAGAAATAGCAATCTCACCGATACTCAGATAAACGTTCTTGGAATATTAATGTAGTGTTGATGTAAGTCAATAAAGTTGCTTGAAGCTTCGGCAGCATCTCCTCACGAATTGGTTTCGATATCAATTTCTCAAGAGATTTACCTGTATTGAAATTTATAGCTTTAAAAGTTTTGATAAAATATATTTTTTTATGTAATTATACAATAATACTACTAATTTCTTTCCTTTAGTGTATGGAGTGTGGAATATTAGAAATATTTTATATATACTCGAATAAATTATTATAATACTGATTTTTGTTTTATTCCTTTTAAAAGTTTCTGCCGTTAGCCTTATAACATAAGTATAGTAAGTAAGATTGGCCAACAAATTCTGACGTAGGATAGAAGTGCAGACCATAAGGATTTCGTGTGCCGATACCAAGTGAGATCTGCCCCCAGTTTAGTTCGTAGTTGACAGCGCTGGCGTCGTTCTCCGTCTCTCTTGCTCTCGTAGTTATGAGGGGGAACGTCTATCTCCCTCGCTCTCTCTTCTTCTTGTAGCTTATTGTTTAGTTAGGCCGCGGTCTTTAAATCCAAGCCGCCAAGCGGCAATTTGGGTGCCAGAGTTTATCTACAGAGCACCCATAAGAACTAGAAGCACAGTTCCTACATCTAAATTCGTTGACTGAGCCTTGTAAATACTCAATCATATGAATCGCTTGACATGTCTATGAGGTGGTAATAAGATTTGGTGTCTGATATTTCAATTAATATTAGATATTTAATTTAACAGTAAATAAACCAATATTACAGTTACTTAGAATAAGATATTTCATTAAAATTAGCAAATGCAAGAATCTCGAAGATACATCAAGATTTAAACTACTTAACTAAAGTTTAGCGCAAATCCAGGGGTCAAAGGTCAAATTCCATGTAATATGGCCTATTAACTATTAAATAATTAAACTATATGTATAAATTAGTGCGGTTACGGGTTTGGAATTCTACCCAAAGTTAATTTCCATTCCTGAATGTGTCAGTTCAAAAGTCATTAATAAACTTCTGTAAATATTTAAGTATAGTCAATATAATCGAAAAGTCACAATACATGTGTGTTAAATATAACGTATTGAAACGGCGGTTCGAGCTTCCGTTTACGTCTAAATACGCTTTCGAGGCGCTACTTAAGATATTTACTATAATTTATTGCTATATTTGATTTTACATATTAGCCGTGCTTATGCAGTTAGTGTTCAACGACAACGTTGTAATCAGTCAAACTATGACAGCTACATTGAAACATATATCACGCAACTCTCAAATCATCATTCACTTGGTTGGCCACAGAACACACAAGGATTGATCATTCATTCAGATCAGAACATTTAGGACGCATAAGTGTGAAATTTATCGTAACGAATATTATGTTTTACATATAATTACTTTGGGGTTGATTGAAATATTGTGCTGTGATTGGCTCTCGGCCTAGTCCTGGGGATGATATCTGAAATTAAAATATTAAATAATGATAAAATTAAAATATTAAATTAGTATCCCTTGGGGTTTGAATGCCAGTGTAACCCTCCACTGCACTACATACTTGCTTACTACATTAAATACGTATTATTACCTACCTACCTACTCATGCATACGTACTATACGTATATGTATGCATAAGTAGGTAGGTAGGTAGGGTCATTATTCTCGAGCATAACAATGAAATGAATAATAATAATAATCCATACAACCCTATATGGATCTTGGCCTCAGATTGCATCCGTCTCTATCATAGACAAGTAGGTTATCAGCCCTCAAACGTGTCGTCGATTTGGATTTAAGACTTGCCTGTTCCTCACGACGTGTTCTTTCACCGTACGATTTAGTATTAGATATAAACAAAAAGTCCATTGGTCCACAGCCAGAGATCGAACCTATGACTTCAGGGATCAGAGCTGCAGCCACTAGGTCATCACTGCTTTAAACAACTAACAACAAAACTCCTAACAAAGTTCTGTTAAAATGCAAGAAATCCTGAATTCGGACGCCTATTACACAAATAATATCAGGATTTATTCCGTCGACTTTCAAGTTATCAAATATATATTATATAATAAAATATATCGTTTATAATAAAATTTCCCAACCTATGGATGCTGACATAGTCAAACTATCCAGATACAAACTCGCAAATCACTAAAATTACGTAATTACGATTTCAAATCTACAGAGGCCTTACTACGTAACTTGGCATGACTTAGAGGTTTCAAAAACTAACACAGAAACAGCGCACGATCATAACAACTCTCAAATACTTGCACATACACACCCATTCGCACACTCACACATACACGCATACTTAATGTCGTATACGACTTAACAACACTAAAATTACTTTTTTAGAAAAATTGTTTTAAACATGTACCATGTACCACTGACTAAATGTTATCTAGTTACGCACAACACAGGGACGCTAGTGTGGGGGACTAGCGGTAGATGAATTTTGTCACAACCCTTTTGTCATGAATAAAGTTATTATTATTATTATATAAATTAATTACCTCAATGCTGAATTTACATTCCGTAACTGCAAACGTACTGTGTCCTATATCGACTGATTGTCCACTTAGTTTAGTTATCGCGTAGCCTGTTAACTTGCAGTTCTCGGCTATTATGCTAGAATACCATAAATTTTCGAGTTTAAAAGTTTTCAATTGTTTTTTATTGATACTGTACAGGCAGGAATATAAATATCGATGTCAACGTAATGGAAGATGGCTGTAGCATGACTAGCTGCTGGGTCTCTTGGTAGAATGCTAACGCGACCCCAAGTTTTCCCTACAGTGACGTTATTAGTTTACTGGGTAGTGCTGTTATAGCAAGTCCCACACACTGTGCGGAAATGGATTCCCCTCAAAATAAAACGTGCGTGTACTTATGTACAGTTTACACGCGTTCTTTGGCGTAATAAGATAAAAATTCTTACAAAAATTTTATTCTACAAGTTAAGTTTATTAATAATGTTAAGTACATTCTCCTTTTCGCAACGTGAAGCCAAAGCAAATATACCATATAAATAATGCATCTTATAAGATTAAAAAATGTATAAGAATAGAATGAACTATGACGAAGCATGCCCTCTCACAACATTGCTGTGCCTAACCAAGGTCCTTATTGTAATAAATTATAACGTATCATGTGTATAATATTAACTTAAGGAATGCAATAAAGATTTGAGTTTGAGTTTGAAAACTAAAATGTTGACTATCGCCAACTTCAGGGTGTCGGTTTTTCGGGTGTGCGCGCGCATCGTAAAAATTTTATCTCATCAAATTTTCTTAACGCGCCAAAAGAAGTATAACTTCAAAAAAAGGTTAGAATATAAAAGAAAATATCGTATTAGTGACTTGAGTGAGTTTTGATATAACTGCTATTGCCATCAATGGAAGGCGGCATCGATTCTTCCTCTTCATCCAGAAAGAACTAATTCTTTTATCTAGATAACCGTTACGCGTTGGATTCTAGTAGTTCTTCGTGGTACTACGTAGCTCTACAGGATATATCTATGTTACAGCAGATTAATATACCGTCAATTTCTATTTTAATGAATGTATACTATTCTATATATATTCATAATTAATGATGAAAACACATTTAGCTGTCAAGAGTTAACAGTTAATTAAGTCAATATTTAATTAACCTTATATCCATAAGAAGTCGTTAGCTAACTGGGTATTAAATACAGATACATAGTTCTTATTATAATGAAAAACCTTAACTTAATGCGATGTAATGAAAACTATGAGTATCGAACTGTAAAATGGACTTTGACCTCAAACAATTTTTTTTACTCACGCTGCATTTCCTAAATTATCCACTACATCGTAAGTAAATGGTGAGTTCTTATCATCTGGATTCCCATAAATAACATCTGATTGATTTCTGAAGAGCGTGTATCGAGTATGGATTAATATCTTGTCGATTCCTGACTCAATGCGTAGAATGTTTGATGCAAGCGCAAAAGTCACTTCCGGTGCAGAGAGATGCGGCAATTCGCCCAAGAACATTTCGTGGAACATTCTGAAATAAGTTACAATAAAGAAACTACCTATTACGTATTAAAAAAACCTTAGCTACTATCAATTTGATAATGAGTCCAATTATATATCTAATGTACCTCACGATTTAAAAAAAAATGTTTCGGTTTCCTTACGTTACGTACTTAGAAAAACTATCAAAACAGTGGCAGAAATAGGCCGAATCCAAAAATGCAGAACTTCTCATTCGGTTTTTCATTATTAGATCAAAAGCTACTTATAGTAAACTGTGCTAAAGGTAATAAATGTAAATAATAATTTAATTAATAAGATTAAATAATAATTATTTAATAAAACTTCGTTGCATACAGAACTATAATACAGTTGACATAATTAAATGAAAAGCAAGGCAACTGCCCTGCGATTCTGTAACTCAGTTTTCGAACTCACACAGCGGTTTTCGCATCGGCGGTCGCTCTCAAATCAGTCTTGAAGCAGTCATTTTATGATTTGGCATTCTGATAAACAATAAACTACAATTTCCCACCTTTTGAGAATGCCAAATCATAAAATGACTGCTTCAAGACTGATTTGAGAGCGACCGCCGATGCGAAAACCGCTGTGTGAGTTCGAAAACTGAGTTACAGAATCGCAGGGCTGGCGGCCTTATCGCTTTCGAGCGATCTCTTCGAAGCAACTAATTTGAGAGAAAAAAAATTTGATAAGGCAAGCGCAAGACGTGCAAAAATACATAATAAGAATGGCGCGAAACAAAGCAATTAAAACATAATATGTAAACAGTGAACAGTAAGTGTAAATTAAAAAATATTAATATTATGGAAAGCTTGCATTCAATATTAAATATTTCTTAATTTAAAGAGACAAAGTTAATCAGAAGACCTCTGTACTTTATAAAGTATTACTCGAAAGTCCAAATACCTACCTTATCTATTTAAGCACCATTAACTCAATAAACCTTTTCTCAAATGAATTAACACACATAACAAACAAACGTTTTGTATAACCTTCAGATGCATTCATGATATGATTATATATTAAATTTAATGCAATTTGATCTTTAAACACTGAACAGATCAAATAAAATAACTTCAAAACCGAAATATGAGACAGAATTTTGTTCATATTACGAATATTTCGGATTCCTAACAAAAAAAAATCCAGGGTACACAACTCTCCGAAAAAATCTGCGTTTACTGCACAAGACGAATAGAACTTTAACGGCAAATTTGCCATCTAAAGTTAATATGTAACTACTAAACGAATACATCTATAAATAGCGTGTATTTTTTCTCGATCTCTCTTACTCTCTCTCTCTCTCAATCTTTCTCACTATAGCTCTCTCCCACCTCTCGCTTCATGGCTCTGTGCGTGATGCGACGTTCGCCCTTTCTCACTGTCTCTCAATCGGTCTCAATCGCTCTCTCCCTTTTCTTCGACAAGAACGCTGCACATCTTCGTGACGCTAATATTATTATTATTGCGTTTCATCCGTAAAAAGTTTACCCTCATGCGCCTAAAGAAGTTTCACTTCAATAAATAGCCCTAAAAGCGATAGAAATCCTTAATAGCTTACACTCCAACTACACCGTCGGACAAATAGAAGCCATTTGCGATTCTGTGAGCGTCTGCAGACTTTCTGATGTAGACGTTCATCCCTTTATATCCATAGTTATCCTTTAGAGCCTGAAATTGAAATTCTAATGATAAATTCATTGTTAGGGAATTACCTATTTCTTATATTAAAGAAAATATATAAGGTATTAAATTTTACGAAATATCAAACTCGATTGACCGCTTTAATAATGATTTCATTGGATTATTAATGGTATATCTATAATTATATTAGAATTTTAGTGCCCTGAGTAACAGGCTGTACACATAAGACAAATGTTCAGTGCGAAGCCGAGTCAGGACGCTAGTTTATAGGACGACTCTTAAAAAAACAAATAATACTCTATTCAGTTACAATACTCACTAATTTTATTGCATTTTCATATGATTTTCTATGTTTTTGCCAATCTTTTTGAAATGCGGTGTATTTGTCTGCAAAATATAATTTATTATTGTCATTTTACAGTTTATTTTTCGTTTAACAACACAGTAAATTTAAATAAAACTTCTTTTACGGGTAGAAATGCGATTTTTTTTATAATTTTTCTACGATTGCCATCACCTTGCGAAGGTTGGCGATCTTCATGGCTAGTTTAATTTTGAATGCCGCGCTTCTACTAACTTGGTGCTTTGATTAAACCATTGTCTTAAGTTTTTCAACCAAGACGAGCGTCTGCGGCCAGGTCTCCTCCTACCTGCTACCTTTTCTTGTATGATTAGTTGAAGGAGCACGTATTTTCTAGTGTTACGTGAAACGTGTACGAAATACTCAAGTTTTCTTTTCTTAACCGTCATAAGCACTTCTTTGTTCTTCTGCATTCTGTCCAGCACGGTTGTATTTCGTCAGTCCAAGATATTTTAAGCATACGACGGACGATAAACCCAGATCTCGAACGCTAACAGGCCTACATTGGCTCTTATATTACTCAATATATAAACCTGCTAATTTCTTATTTATAATTTTGATATAGAAACTTAAACATAAAATTATACTTGTAACGACTAACTTAACAAAATATTGCTCTCGTAGTAAACCGATTACTACATATTAACTTTACATTTCGCATGTAAGCAGTGGCGTAACTATACCATCTGGAGCCCGTGACAAATTCTTTTGATGGGGCCTTATCAGTAAAAATCGACACCTTGTACTCAGTTTAATTTAAATAAACTTCGAGATTTTCAGCGTACTCAATTACATGTTGTATATGTCCCACTAATGGCAATAGGCCTCCTCTCTTAGGCGAGAGGGAATGGTCTGTAATCCCCACGATAGCCCTATGCGTATTGGAAACTTCACATTCATCCATGGAACCTAATATCTCTTGGTTAGGGGCCTTCTTGGGTCGGGGGCCCGTGGCATTTTGCCAGCCCTGCCACCCTATTGTTACGCCACTGCATGTAAGTTAAACAGCATTAAAGGCTTTTTTATGTAATACTACATATATCATTAGATTCAATAAGAAAAGGACTAAGGAAGGAAAGCATTCTAAGCCTTGGCATCCCTTAAAAATAGAGTCACTTAAGAGCTGCATAAATATTATTTACCACTGTTGAAATAATTTTTAAGAGTACTCTCTATATCCGCTGAATGTCCTTCAAATACGAAAAGAAAACATAAAATATAAAAACGAAACATTTTTAACGACATTTCGCGTTGAAATAAAATGTTAGTGCTTTGATGAATAAATTGAAAATTAACTTTGAATTATCAAATGGTTTATTAATTTCTTATTTTTGTATTTGTAGGGTTAAACAAAGCTGTAAGTGAAATTATAAAGCATATACCATAGGGAAGAAGTTACCAACGATCGTAATTTTATTATTCATGTATTAAATTATCATATATATCTCATAATTTTATCATTTATGTATTAAAAGACGCTATATAACTTTGAAAACAGAAATTATTAATTTACGTATAACAATTAAGCCCGGCAGCCATAATACAGACACTCTAATACTTTCATGCCAAGTCGGTGTTTTCCACTGAAGTAAAAAGTAATAGTTATAATCATTGATATACAAAAAACCCAAGATGCACAGTCTCGAATAAAAGTAACGCTCGTAAGTGTCCCGAAACACTATTTCTGTCTCTTTCTATAAGTTACAAGCATATATTATTGCAAAATCAACCTTACGCGAATTGTTTAAGGTTGTTATTACAACGCAGTGTACTTAAAGCAATAAAATTTTACGACCGACCGTGGTCGGTAGGACAAGGTATTGAGTGGAGTCGAACATGACTTTTTTATTTACAACTATTTAACATAATTTTAAATTTATCCGACGTTTCGCGTGCTTTACAGCGTGCGTGGTCACGGTGACTGAAGACAAAAGGTGTTGGATGTTAAATAGTTGTAAATTTATAATAATACATAACTTTAATCCGGTTAAAAAGTTTTTTCTTTAAATTAAAAAAAATGTTAAATTGGCTACCTCCTGACCTACACTTTATATAGCGTAAATATATTTGTCAAAAACTACACACAAAAAAAGTTCAAAAGTACATAAATTTATTTATAAAAAAAAACATATAACATCGACTCCACTTATTAGAACAGGGTCATTTTTATAATGCGACTAAAATAAAAAGAAGACTGTAATGCGTTGTTCTAACACTGAACAAGCAGCCATTGAAGTTGGCCGTATAGAAGTTTGTGCGTTGAATGAAGTTTTTAGAAAAAATAAATAAAAATCACACATTGCTTGTTATAATCAGTCATAAAAACAACAAAAACTAATCAATAAAGTTTTTTTCTTACCGAAAATACGATATCCCATCCTTTTTTAGCCTTCTTGACGTAATATTTTTACAATTTCTCACAGAACACTTTGACATTTTTGACAACTGCTCCCAGACGCGAGCGACGCGAGACTATTTGAAATGAGCGCACAATTTAGAATGTTGCGCTCATTTTTTGAGGACGTTTTTTAGACGTTGATTGTGCATCTTGGGTTTTTTGTATATCAATGGTTATAATAGAATACTTACATTCTCCGCCGCTACCACACTTTATCTGCTTTTCTATCTTATTTATTTATTTACACTTCGTTACAATATACAAAAACATATATATATAAAAGCAGGTTACATGAGTTATTAGGCAAGGGGCAGCCTTATCGCTTACAAGCGATTTCTTCCAGGCAACCCTGGAATGGAACAATAAAAAAGAAACACCTACAGAGGGTAAAGTACAAAGTGCATAAATAATTGAAAAAAAAGAACATGTAACAGTAACTATAGCTAAAATAAAGTAAAATAAAAAAAATTAACAAAAATATAAAAGCTAATCCAATGGATAATGAGTCACAATTAATATCTATAAGTAGCTAAAATTACGAAGATTATATTATATAGATTAGGTCAAAATTTTATTTAATTTTGTGAGTTACTAGCTATGTACGAGGAAAGTTGTAAGATTAGATAAGAAGAGTGAAAATAATAAATATAGTTTAAAAAAACTAAAAAACACGCTTTTAAAGCACATAAAACTAAAAAGTGAAAAATAATTCCTAATTTAGGTTGAAAATGGTAATGAATAAAAAATACTGGTATTATTGTGAAAAAGCGTGGCGCGCTCTGTGCCATATTTTTCGTCTATCGAGCAACCCACGCATTTGATATGCTTTAAAAGCGTGTTTTTTAGTTTTTTTAAACTATATTTATTTTCCACTTTTTAGTCCTAGCAGCAATACGTGTTGTCTCAATTTAATCGTATTGCTTTGTGGACTTAAAAAAATTTCATTGTTTTTTCGAGATAAACCTATGAAATTATTATATTGTCGCTGATTCTATATAAGTGTACAAAGTTTGAATTAAATCTGTCTGTTTAATGTGGGTCAAAATCGAGTCCGAAGGAGTCGGTTACATACATACAGGTGAAGCTAATATAAAGCGTGTAAAAAGAAAACGCTTCAGCCAGAGTTGGGCAAAGAGACAAAGTTGTCGACTCAGCCGTTGACATTTTAGATTTTTATTTTGTAAATACCTTTTTTGTCTGAATAAAGGCTATTTCTATTAAGATTATATAATTATTTTTTAAATGTTAAACATGGTGTTAATCCAAGTAGTTATATAAATATTACAAGCCGAATAAGTTTTCCTAATTCAACCGCTGTTTAAATGATTTTGTCAAAGTCAAAAATCATTTAATCATATAGGTAACACAATGTACATTTATGAACGTCAAAAAGAAATGTATTCCAACTTTACATTTAGTGCCAGTTCTCAAATCATGGGCGTAGAACGGAAGAGAAGAACTGGCAATAAACTCTCCGCCACTCTTTTTAATCGCCATGTTTTTTTTTTCACAACGTTTGTAAGGAGCTGCAACCATTACACCGTGTTACACATGACATCTTAAGTAATATAATACATAATGAAATTCTTTATTAATAAATAATTCATACTTTTTAACCTATTTCCTAGTAGAAACGTGGACTATCACGTCTCGGAAATGCAAAGGATTTATGCCTTTGAGATGAAGTACTCGAGGTGAATGTTAAGAATACCGGAGAATGCGAAGCGCACCAATTCATCGATCTTGACTCAACTCCGCATACGGACTTGCCTATCTACCATATGCCGACAACTAATTATGTCATATTTTGGACATACAATGCGCAGAGGCGATGAGAACTTGGAGAAACTGATCGTGGTTGGTAACACAAAGCAAGAGATCATGTGGTCGTTCACGAAACCGGTGGAAACAGATTGTCCGCGCCAGGTGTTTCCTTGCTTGACGCTCTGACAAGAGCTACCGACTGACGACAGAGAGATTAGATGTAAGAGGCGTCGATTAGTTACATATTTAAAACAGGATAATATAATATTCGGTTATTTGTCAGTAAAATGAGAATAGTAATTATCGTTTATTATTTAATAGTATTTACGATTTTCTTCTTGTAAAGGAGGAAATGCTGCTAGCGTTAAGGTACACTGCCACAGGGATCAAACTTTTAAATATGTTTTAATTCTCTAATCTAATTATTTGTATTATAAAAAAGAAAAGATAATCGTAAATATCAACTTATTTAAACTATATCAAACAAATGGTTAGAAAACGTTTAATATCAACATATTTATTTACATTGAAATACAAAGTTCATTTGGAAATGGTTTATTAAAGTGAAAATACTGATAAGCTTATAGGATTCAATGCAGTCTCGAATTAATTAAAAGCGAATTTTATGACCGAATGTTAATAAATGTGAATTATTGACGGAAAATGTTTTCTACAAATATATTACTCATTTTGATTATAAATACACCCATCGTTTTTCCAAAATCACACCTTAAGCGGACTTCGGATGACGGTAAGGAATTTAGTGCATATCAACATTTATAGCTATGTTCGATAACACTGGGGACCCTCTTTAGCCTGGCAGTGCAGATATTACTGGAGCAGTTGTCATTACTAGTAACTTTTGTCTGAAGTCGAAATTTGCATTTGCAAATTTTGTATGTATTTGTCTTTTTGTTACTTCTATGATAATTTCTATTATCTATTTGCCAACCATTCACTTAAGGTTTGTTGCTGACTGATTTCTGTAAGACTCCCAAAAAAGAAGTTTCAACGTATATGAATTTAACGCAATTCTCTTTTAGAAAATGAAATACTTCAAGAAGATGACAAAGAGCCACTGAAAGTTCCAGAAGATGTGGAAGTTTTCAATGTAACAGCCAATAAGCCTAGTCACTGCTGGCCAAGTTTCAGCGTGGACAAATATTTTAATATCTTAGACAATCTGGACGGTAGATATTTTTTTATGCGTAAGAAAATTAAACTAAATGTCGATTACATATTTATTATCAATAATGTGTCTGCCTACTAAAGTATTTGCATAGCATTGCATATTTTACATCTTAACATCAATCAACCTTCTGACATCTTAACGTCAGGTGAGTCTTCTTAGTCCGTTTGTCTGCTGCTCTATAAAAAAACACTCTTGCTGATACCGAAATGGGTATGCAGAAGCCACAGACATCCACTCGCTACGGTCTTTACATACCTCTCGCTTCCTCCACACTCATAATATCCACCATACATACATGCTGGTGCTTTTGATCGGATATTTACTTTATCTGTATATTGTAAATACATACTTTATACGTCTTATACACAGATTATGAAATATGTTTTTAGCGCAATATGCTCAAGTCCGCAATAATTTTCAAGCTGCAGTTGGTAGTGATAATTTCGATACTGAAATGCTGAAGGTAAGTTTATAGCTCAGTTTTTGATACGTGACGATTTTGTAGGGGCAATACGCCAAGGCATGAGTAGGGACTGCCAAAGAGCAAACAAGCAGGCTCATTTGATGACAAGTCGAAAGAACTGTCTTGCTCGTGAATCTGCTACTTTTAGGTTCAAATCTACCAGAGTTTAACTGCCTTTTAAGTTAAGAGTTTAATTGTTACTTTGATTTATAACAATGCTCTATGGCTCAACGCCAAATCTAGAACTGTCTAATAAATAAAATTGTGCTTTTATACTGTTCAGATGAATACTTAATATTAATTATTCTAATCACGCCAAGCACGCGTTTTCAGAAAATTTGCAGCTTTGAAATTTTTTTGTGCCCCACATGATAATGTTGCTTCCGGGGCGTGGATTAGGTTCATTCCAGCATCTATGTCAATAAATTATGACTGATTTCGATAAGATCCGCCATATTGTGTTGAATCTAACCTAAGACTTTCGGGTTATATGACCTCTATGTTAACAAATAAATTACGAAGGATAGATATAAATAGATTGTAAATAATATCATTTTATGATAAAATGAAAGACATAATATGTAATTTTAATGGTTAATAAGTTAAACTTCCTGAAATGTTTGTATGCCTTTAGGACAGTCGTTTTATCAGTCGTATGTCTATCGACTGGAATTCTATTTATTAAATATATTCAGTATAAATAAGTAGATTCTCTAATCTCTATAAGATTAGAGAATTGTCACTAAATAAATTCAAAGCCCTCGTTAAACGGAAATTAATCAATAAAGCTTTTTATAAATTTGATGAATATTTAAATGGTCCTAATCCTTGGGATTGATTTGCTCCAGTTCAAACAATTTGTATGACTCAAAACTTAGCGATTAAAAAGAGTGGCGGAAAGTTGCTTGCCAGTTCTTCTTGCCAGTTTTATAGAACGGGGGGCAAACGGGCAGGAGGCTCACCTGATGTTAAGTGATACCGCCGCCCATGGACATTCTCAATGCCAGAGGGCTCGCGAGTGCGTTGCCGGCCTTTTAAGAATTGGTACACTCTTTTCTTAAAGGACCCTAAGTCGAATTGGTTCGGAAATACTTCAGTGGGCAGCTGGTTCCACATAGTGGTGGTGCGCGGCAAAAACTGCCTTGAAAAACGCTCAGTTGTGGAACGGCGGACGTCGAGGTGATACGGGTGGAATTCCGTATTCTGTCTCGACGTCCGATGATGAAACTCAGCTGCAGGTATTAATCCGAACAACTCCTCTGAACACTCTCCATGGTAAATGCGGTAGAAGATGCAGAGTGACCCCACATCTCTACGCAACGCCAAAGGATCAAGCCGCTCGGAGAGGGATTGGTCGTCGACGATTCGAACCGCTCTGCGTTGTATACGGTCAAGTGGAAAGAGCTGGTACCGGGGAGCCCCCGCCCAGAGGTGAGAGCAGTACTCCATGTGGGGCCGAATTTGCGCTTTATATAGTTGCATGCGGTGGCCCGGAGTGAAGTACCGCCTCGCCTTGCTGAGCACACCAAGCTTTTTGGAGGCTTATTTAGCCTTTCCCTCCAAGTGACCGCGAAACTGAACGTCGTTCGATATGTCAACGCCAAGTATTCCAATGCTAGCTGTGGCTTTAAGAAGAGTTTTTTCGAAAAGAGGAGTAGCGACAAAGGGTGTTTTTTTAGCGGAAAACGCGCAAACTTGTGTCTTCTTGGGGTTGGGACTAGGTTTTGTCTGCCCCAGTCTGAGACTCCACGTAGTAGAGTTTCGACTTCAGACACAAGTTTGTTCCGGTACTCATCAACAACTGCCCGAGAAATACCTGCCCGGCCAGTGTAAAAAGTATCCCCAGTGCTGTCATCCGCATAGCAATGAATGTTGCTAAGTTGCAACATATCATTGATATACAAAAGAAATAGGGTCGGGGATAGAGCACAGCCTTGTGGGACCCGTTCACGGGTTGAAGGTCGGAACATGCTCCGTCGATGACGACCTTGATGCTCCGATCGGCCAGAAAGCTGGAGATCCAATCGCATAATTTCTCGGGAAGCCCATAGGCTGGAAGCTTCGAGAGCAGTGCTCTGTACCCGATCGAAGGCCTTCGCTATGTCCAAACTTACCGCCAGCGCCTCCCCCTTGGACTCAATTGCCTCTGCCCACCTATGGGTAAGGTATACAAGGAGGTCACCAGCTGAGCGACCACGACGAAAGCCGTACTGAGAATCGCTAATCAACTGGTGGCCCTCTAGATACCTCAAGAGCTGGCTATTAATAATGGTTTCCATTATTTTGGAGAACAAGGAGGTTATAGCTATTGGGCGATAGTTGGACGGATCAGAGCGATCGCCTTTTTTAGGGATCGGATGTATCGAAGCGGTCTTCCAGCACTTCGGGACAGTGCCGAGCGAGTACAGGTACCGGAAAAGGCGCATTAAGACCGGAGCCAACTCAGGAGCACAAGTACGCAGCATAATTGGGGGGATACCATCCGGCCCGCTCGACTTATGAATGTCCAAGGAAGATAGTGCTTTGGTGCTTCTTGCCCGCTCTACGCCCTTGACTTGCGAACTGGTAGTAAATGTAAATTTACAATTAATTTAACTTCTTTTTTGACGTTCATAAGTGTACTTGTTTACCTATATGAATAAAGTTAGTTGAGTTTGAGTTGCCACTAAATAAAACTAGGTTTCTTTTTAATCCCTATAGATTACCTGTTAGATGTCAGTGAATAATAGAGCCCTTTATCTACTGATTATACATTTTCCAGATCCTAGTAAACACTGGTGGTGTTGCAGAACGAACCGCTTATCATGTAGGAGGCAATCGTGGTCTTATACCGGCAGGGATAAATCTGGGCGGCTATTGTATGATGAGGGCTCCTAAGAATATTTTGTGAGTACATAATATATAAAACTGACACAGTAATACATAATATATAAGAATATATTAACTCTTGGTGCCCACACAATTTAACAGAAGTTACAGAACACACAATAAAGTTCTAGATTATAAGTTTTGATATACTAACATAGAATGATGACATAATAAAAAAAATAATTTCTTTTGAATATCATTTGACATTTATTTATTTATTTATTTATTAAGGAACACCAACAGATTACATGTATATATTTTCTAATTAACAATATTGGGTTTTATTCTAGCATGCAATCTAATAATAGGTGTACACAACATTGACTCTAATAAATGATAGCGGACAGAGTTTACTTAAGTATTTGTATCTTTAAACATAAATAAATTGAAACGTGGTAAATATTACATGACTTGTGGCTGAGATGACTGAATTTTCTTCTTAAAACAAGGAAGTGAGTCATAATACACGTCAAGACTATGTCTACAACTACATTGGTTAAAATTCCTAAGCATTCTACTGAGGGGCGCATGTTTACCTAGATTGGTTAAGGACTGTGGAACGACAAAAGTATCAGTCTGTCTTCTTCTTGCGTTGATTCTAGGCACTACGAAGTAAATCTTTTTTAAAATATCTGGACAAATAATCGTGCCGTGCATCAACTTGTACAAAAACACCAGGTCCACAATTATACGACGATCCTCGAGAGTTTGCATTTGCATGCTAGTTTGTTGTGGCTGCTTGTGTAGTGTTTTTTATTTCATATTTCAACCACTTTCAAGGCAAATAGAAGATTTATTAATATTTTTTTTTTGCGACTGAGGCGCAATCTACCTGCTGTGGTCTCTGGTAGAATGACCAGCGCTGTTGAACAGTCTGCTCCTCAGCAGAATGCTGATCCAGGGCCAATTACAACCACAGCACACACAGCATTACACACTTAAAACGAACCTTGTTCTTTAAAGGAAGAAAAAATTTTGTTATCTATCTTTTTTTTTTCTTTGATCATTATGTGTGTGTGTTTTTGTTAGTAATAAATGTTATGTCTAAGTCTAAATATCTAGATTTAGAAGTGGTGTTGATTTTGTTATAAAATATATTTTAATCCAATAGTGACGTAATACACAATTAAAATTATAAGTTTACTTCCATTAACGGTCGTAAAAACAAACCACATTTCCAGTTATATTAGTGGTATCCTTTGATTTATCTTCTGAAATACCGAAATTATGGTCTTTTAAAATATATCGTTTACGTCGTAATTGATGTCGGTCCAGCCGTGCTCGTCACCGTAAAATGAGATTGTTATCGCATAGAAACTGTGACGACGCATCCCTACTTGTCTAACTTATGGTATAGATACAATATCCAATTATGGATTCTGATTCGACTCCTGGCAAAGCATCGCCGTTTACCTCATCCCCCTTGAGGGATAGGACTTGAAACAAGTATTGCTTAAAACTATATTTAAGCTGTCGGTCTGAAAAAATGCTTCAGTGTTTTTGACTCTAAATGACAATATTAATGTGACACATTAATAACCTTTTTTATGTTGGGCCATTAGTGTCAAAAATCAAATTACAAAACAATCAACAATTATGGTAGTATCGTTTGAAGTAAAGGCGGCAGGGGCCCGTTTGCCCCCTGTTATGTAAAAAAAATGTTAAGTCATCAGGTGAGTTTCCTGCCCGTTTGCCTATATACATATATACATTGCCAGAGGGCTCGCAAGTGCGTTGCCGGCCTTTTAAGAATTGGTACGCTCTTTTCTTGCAGGACTCTAAGTAAAATGCCTTAAAAACGCTCAGTTGTTATTGTCGCTAAGTTGCTGGTAGGGCCGTAGCCAAACGTCCCGACAGATTGATTATATTACCCACACTTTATAACTAAGCATTATGTGAATTTACGACCCGTGAGAATGACGAGCTCTGGCAAAATTTTATACTCGAAACCATTGGTCGCTTTATTTTTTTTGTTACGTAATTTTATATTCGGTGCGTTAATGAAAACTATTTTACGCTCAAGCATTGTATTATTTCCATATAGACTTATTCATAAATGTATTACTAATATAAGTTATGAATGTTGTGTTACTACTGTTTTTTATTAAGGCGAGGTTTTGTCTTTATAATTTGAATTATTATACAAAATTTATGATGTCATCTCCAAGTGTTATTCAAATTAAAACCCAAACCGAGCAATTACTAGTGGGTGAACTGAAAAAGGAAAGAGCCCGATGCTCAGACCTGGAAAGTATTGTCCATCAACTCAAGGAACGAATAGCTCAGCTCGAACAAAAAATAGATCAGCCCTTAACACAAAGGGATGAGGCAGCCGCTGAAACAATTCAGTATGAGACGGACGAAGAAGAACTGGCTAAAGAAACGGAATGGGTGCGACAAAAAGCAGAAAGAAAAGGACACTTGTTTAGATTCCCCTTCCCCCATGAAAGAAGTTACTTGTAATAAAGTAACCAAAGAAAAATCCAAAAAGGAACCCCTTCCACCTCCGATTAGTGTCGAAAATATGATTGAATACCAATCATTTTACGATTCTTCACTTAAAAAAGAATTAAATAAAGACTCTTTCACCGTGAAAATGCTTAGGAATGGATCGGTGAAGATTAACACCAATAGTGAAGCTACCGCCTACCTATAGAGGTATCACAAAACACCTTAAAGAAGAAGATGCTTCGTGGTTCTCATACGAGAACAAGCAGAGCAGGCCAATAAGAGTAATGGCAAAAAATCTACATGCCTCTTGCAAGCCTGAAAGGATAGTTGAAGACCTCATTCTCCAAGGATTTAAAATCTTAGACGCAGCCGTCAAATATAGCTGGAAAAACAAGGAACCGCTTAACATGTTCATTCTCTCTTTCCACCATTAGGAAAACATAAAAAATATTTATGAAATAAAATCGATACTTGGCTGCAAAATTGATGTACAGCCATTGAAATCACCAAAATTGATCCCCCAATGCCAGAGGTGTCAGGCTTATGGGCACACACAGAAATACTGCTCCAAGGAGCCGAGGTATGTAAAATGTACTGCAAAGCATCTCACAGTAGACTGTAACAAGCCACGAGACGCGAAACCGAAGTGCGTTCACTGTGGTGAGTCACACCCAGCTAATTACAGAGGCTGTGTAGTAGCTAAAGAATTGCAAAAAATGAGAAACGTTTTAAAATCCAAATCAAAGACTGAAACGGACAAACCTGTAAAACCAGCAAAATTGGTTTCCAAGACTGTTTCCTTCGCTGAGGTTACTAAAGGTCCCAAGATTCTATCCTCAACACAACAAAATGAGACATCTAACACAGGCATAGATTAACGCCATACTTTCATTATTGACATCTTTTGATGAAAGACTTAAAAAACTAGAAAGCAGCACCAAAATAGATGGCTTCTAGTCTAAAGCAATGATGTCTTTAAAAATAATGGCATGGAATGCTAATGGGCTTTTAAAACACCAAAGAGAACTTCATATAATTCTTAAACATGAAAACATTGACATCTGCTTGGTATCGGAAACACATTTTACCAGGGAGTCGTACATTCAACTAAAAGGATATAACGCCTACCATGCCCTTCACCCAAGTAATAAATCCAGAGGTGGAAGTACAGTTATAATAAAGGACAGTTTGAAACACCATGAGGTCTTTAAATATGAAAAAGAACATATTCAGGCTGTGGCTGTATGCCTATCAATGAAGCGGTGTCCATTAACAATATCTTCTATCTACTGCCCACCAAGACATGCACTTAAGTACGACCAGTACACAACCCTGCTAGAAAGTCATGGAAATAGATTTGTTTTGGGAGGCGACTTCAATGCAAAACATACCTACTGGGGATCAAGATTAATAACGACTAAAGGAAAAGAACTATTCAATGCTATGAAAGATTTGAGATGTGATGCAATTTCGACAGGGAAGCCTACATACTGGCCAACAGACAAGAATAAAATACTATTTCTTATAGATTTCTTCATATTTAGAGAAGTATCACCAAATGTTCTCCAAATAGAGGAAGCTTATGATATGAGCTCAGATCACTCTCCAATCTTACTCACAATTGGCGAAGACCCTGTAAAGCGGAAACTGAATCCATGTCTCGTGAACCCGCATACGGACTGGGACGGCTTCAAAATTTAAGAAAAAGGTAAAAAACAACTACTTCCCAGAAGAGATTAAAAATCTGATAAAGACAAAACGAGCTCAAAGAAAAGGGTGGCATTACACAAGATGTCCTGAAGACAAAAAACATCTGAATAACCTCACTAAACAACTGAGGAGAAAGATTAAAATACATAAAGATACTTCAATAAAGAGATTCCTAAACCAATTAACTTCTGATGGTTCCACCAACTACTCCATCTGGAAAGCGATAAGAAATATCAAAAAACCTACAACACATATTCCTCCCTTGAGAGAGTCTGATGGGAATTGGGCTGCAAGTAATATACAAAAAGTTAGAAGGTTTGCTGATCATCTAGAAAATATATTTCAAATCGATGAAGAAGATTCACTTGACTTCGAAGAAATATCGTCAGAAGAGCTAAACATCCGTCTAGTCACACCAAAAGAAGTTTTAAGTGAAATTAAATGTTTAACTAAAAAAAAGGCGCCAGGCTTTGATTTAATTACTGGTGAGGTACTACAGCATCTCCCCCGTAAAGCTGTAGTTAAAATGACAACCTTAATTAATGCGTCATTTCGACTTCAATATGTTCCCAATATGTGGAAAGTTGCGGAAGTTATAATGATTCCTAAGCCAGGAAAACCACCACACGAAGTAACGTCTTACAGGCCAATCTCATTGTTACCTGTTATAGCAAAACTATTTGAGAAACTCTTTCTCAAACGTCTTAACCCTATTATTGCCAAAAATCGGCTCATACCGGATTACCAATTTGGTTTCAGAGAAAAACATTCTACCATAGAGCAGGTTCATAGAATTACAAATAATATAGAAAAAGCACTAGAATACCAAAAAGTCTGCTCCACGGTATTTCTGGATGTAGCTCAAGCATTTGACAAAGTGTGGCACCGAGGACTTGTTTATAAATTAAAGAAACTACTGCCTCGTCAATTTTCAAATATACTTGAGTCCTACTTAACACAAAGAATGTTTAGAGTACGACAAGAAGGTGATTATTCAGAACTGAAAGAAATAAAAGCTGGGGTGCCGCAAGGGAGTGTATTAGGTCCGGTCCTGTACCTCTTATACACATGCGATATTCCTGAACTAGAAGATAACGTAATCGCTACCTTTGCCGATGATACTGCTATCATGTCTACGGCAGATACTGAAAAGGAAGCGGTAGTAAAACTACAAAAAGCCATAAATACTGTTGGCTTGTGGACCAAAAAATTGTGGATACGATTAAATCAGTCTAAATCAGTTCACATAAACTTTACCAACAAAACATCAAATTACCAGCCAGTATATATTGATAACGTCAAAGTGTCGTTCCAAAATTCAGCGAAGTACCTAGGTATGACGCTGGATACCAAACTCCGATGGAAGGTCCATGTTAAAAAGAAGCGTGAAGAGTTGGATCTCCGTTACACTAAATTGTACTGGTTGCTCGGAAGGCATTCCGCGTTATCAGTTCAAAATAAAGTATTGATTTACAAACAAGTCCTGACACCTGTATGGACTTATGGTTGCCAGATGTGGGGCTGCACCAGTAGTAGTAACATCCAAGTAATCCAACGATTCCAAAACAAAGTGCTCAGGGGAATAGTCAATGCTCCCTGGTATATTCGCAATAACGATCCTCCATCGGGACCTTAGTATAGAGGACGTCGCCACATTAATAAAAAAGACTGCTGGAGCCCACGAACATAGGCTCCACCATCACGTGAATGTCGAGGCTATTCAACTCCTTGACACCACGGGCCTAGTGAGAAGACTTAAAAGGACAAAACCATTTGAACTAGTTAATTAGTGTTAAGTTCAGAACTAAATACACAGTGAGTGAAAGAAAAAAAATAGAACACAAGAACAGAGTGTCTTCCCTTTAATAGAGACTGTAAGTAGTGTTATTGGACACTTTCTTATGTAAAAATCCTTATTAGTAAATTAGGTTAGACTTAAATTACTTATTAGTCTTAAGTTAGGCTAGATTGTAATGTTCCATGATGTCTTAGTAAAGACACATGTATATATAAAAAAACTACTAATTTTTATAAATTATTTAACGAAAGGACAGGACATTCAATAGTTTTTTTTGTTTTTTGTTTAATAAACGTTACATTAGGATGGACTTTTTAAGTATCTAAAAGCAATATTATTCTACATTGAAGTCAAATTTTTAAAGAACCTAATATTAATGATAATACTTTGCTTCAAGTTTTCACGAGCTTTTGTGGACATTACTGAGTGAATACTAAGTAGTTGTCCGTGAATTGACATTTCTAAAATAGCGGAGCAAATTTAATTATTGATGATGAGCTTATTTATTCTGTAACATTTAAAATGATATATTATTATTATTATAATAAAGCCCGTTTCGTTATGGTTACGTTATCAAATTAATATTAATTATAATGTTTCACGCAAATAATCATTAATAGAAAAAAAATTTGTTCCAAAAGTAGTACATTAAGTCGATTTTTAAAAACTCTAGTAAGAAGATCTTTATCGTAAATTATTGTAAACCTTGATTGCCATACAAAAGGTATTTGAATGATATTCACGTAAATATTATATAAAAAATTTGCTCCAAAGTGAAAAAACATAAACAGAAAAACCTTTACTAAACCTACTTAAATATAATCATGAAATGACAGCGTAATTTTTTTATTTTCAACAAAAATGTCGCTGATACTAAAATTTAACTGGCACGTATAAAAATAGCAAAAACTGAGCTTAGGTAAGGTCTATACAACCTCCCAAACCGCAAGTTTTGCGCTAAAGGCACTGAAAGTGAGCTTTGAAAGAGCCAAAGCTAATTTCAAATATGAAATTTAAGCACACGAGAATTCAAAGAAAATTTAACACCTCAGTTTTCGTTCCACCGTCCGTTGTTAACTTTTAATTACTTTTGAAATTACGAAACTCTATTTATATGGAAATTCAACACTCAAAAGTCCTTATACTTAAATGCTAATGTATTTTTTTAAGTTTCAAAGATAACGGAAGTAAAGTAATTTAGAATAACCATAAATCAAAGCGCACCATAAGTTGCTAATGAGAAGGGTCGGCAGCAGGTGGACGCTCTCCTTATTAAAAATATTTTTTCCGTTAGTTATCCACTACTGTTAAAAACCCTTATGGAACTTCTATGTGGTTAATAGATATGTAAAAAGATTTTTATGAAATTCTAATATAACATCTACATGTAATTATCGTTATACTAATTATTATAACAGAAGGAACAACACAAAAAAGAACAATAACTAACCTTAAAATATAATAACTAAAATATATTATTAAAAGGAGTCCTTTTAATAATATACTGATACTGGCAGCGTTCCCCCTTTGAAAAGCTAGACTAAATCTTTGTCCGAGGTAACTGCCAGCTCTTCGGTCTCCTTTTTTGTTTTTTTTCGGTCTTTATGAAACTAATAAGTACTGGAGTGGCTAATCGAGTGGCTTTTTCCAATATTTACATTTTTATAACATTCTTTTTTTACGCAACGTGAGCCCCCTGCCCGTTTGCCCCCAAACTCACCTGATGTTAAGTGATATCGCCGCCCATAGGCACTCACATTACCAGAGGGCTCGCAAGTTTCTGGTCTTATAAGAATTGATACTCTCTGCTCTTGAAGGACCCTAAGTTAATTTGGTTTGAAATTACATCGGTGGGCTGGCTCAGCTGGTTTCACATAGTGGTGGTAAGTGGCAAAAACTGCCTTAAAAACGTTCAGTTGTGGAACGACGGAAATCGAGGTGATAAAGGTAGAATTTCGTATTCTGTCTCAACTTCCAATGATGAAACTCAGCTGCAGGTATTAATCCGAACAACTCCTTTAGAGGAGTTGTTCTCTGCGTGGTAAATGCGGCAGAAGATGCAGAGATGAAGCCGCTCGGATAGTGACAGGTCGTTGACGAGTCAAACCGGTCTGCGTTGGAAGGAGCTAGTACTGGGAGCACTCGAACCGGGGTGAGGACAGTACTCCATGTGGGGCCGAATTTGCGCTTCATAGAGTTGTAAGCGATGGCCCGGAGTGCAGTACCGTCTCGCCTTGCTGAGCACACCAAGCTTTGTAGAGGCTAATTCAGCCTTCCTTACCAAATGCCCGCGAAACTGACCATCATCATTCCGATGCTGGCTGTGGCTTTCAGGAGAATGTCTTCGAAGAGAGGAGTAGCGACAAAGGGCGTCTTTTTGAGGAAAACGCGCAAACTTGACACAAGTTCTAGATTTACTCCAAGTCTTCAAGCAGAGTTTCGACTTCAGACACAAATTTCGATACAAGTTCCGATACTGATCGCCAAAAGCCCGAGAAATACCTGTATCCCCAATGCTATCGTCCGCGTAGCAATGACTAAATGACATCTGTTAATCAACACCTACAGACTCCTGTATATTTTGTTATACGATAGTATTCATTTATTAATAATATATATATTATAGATATGAATAAGGATCATTCCTAAAGGATGTACATTATTCATTAATATAATTTATTTTATATATTATTACGTCAATCGGTAAATGTTTTGATAGTCGAAAGCACATTTACATGACAAATATTGAACTTTTAATATTTTATAGTAAATATGCACCTGTCGCAAACAAACTATGAATATTTCTCTGTGTATTTCCCTCCACCCGTTTACGTTGAAAAGGCTTAAATAACTTATATTTTTTAGATTCTTCCACCGTATGAAGCTGCGAAATGACACCCACTTTAAAATCGAGTACCTCCACAATGACCTCGAGAACATGGTGCTAAATACGAAGATAAATTTAAATGACGTGCATTTGTTGGGATCTTTCGACCGTGCTGTAACCGATAAAGATCCTTCCAAACTATTCTATATGCCAACATTTGGACAGGCTGAGTTAAAGCTTTTACTATATACTTTTCTTATTAGTATTATTAATTATTATAGTCACAAATCAGGATAACGTTAATATGTTGCCTTCGTTAGCGTAATCCCAAATACTTAACGCATTAAAGTACTTAACAATCAGGAACAAATAGGGGGTCATATGACCTTATCGATAATGCATAATTAACTAGAAAACTTTATTTAAAAGAGCAATAAGACCTATTTTAATTTAATATGCTATAAATAAATAAATTACTTGACAGGTTTCTATTAAAAAATGTAAAATATAAAATGGAAGGACGCTATCGCCTATTGCATAATACGCTGAATCTTGTACTCGCAATCTCGGACATTCAAATGGACGACATCATTATGGTGGTAAGTATTTAACCGTTCTAGAAGATAAAAATAGAACTGTTAACCTCTTTTGTAATCCGTTAAAACTGTATCTCAGTAAAATAAATTTAATATAAAAAGTGTAATACTGTGAGAAAAATATATTTTATGTCTTAATACATATATTGTTAATCACAAGAAAGACATTTTAAAAACATGCACATATACAACCAAATATCTGTTTTTGCGAGCGTAGCTCGGCCTGAAGGGGTAGAATGTACTAGCGCGCAATCGTCTTTTTTATTTCAAGTTCGACTGTCCTACCCTCCATTATTTGTGACTTCTAAAAATATTATATTTTTAATATTTGATGATAATATGTTTAATATTCGTATTTTAGTACCATGTCAATGAGTCCAAACCAGCAGCACGTCTGGAAAAACATAATATAGGTATGTTTTACAGTGAGCCGTTACATAAACTTAAAAAATTCAAGCAATAACCCCGTAATCATTAATTGATTTTAAAATTAGAAAACTTTTCCGATACTTCGATGTTAAGTTTTTTTATAATTTCAATGTAAAGAGTTTTAAACAAATCAGACCATAAATAGATTAATTTTTATCATAGAGTAAATACATTTTTACAGAAAGAGATGACTGACTGCTTTAGTTAAAAGAATGCAATTATTGATTTAGTTTTTATGAATAAGATGGATCGTATTTAATAATAATTATTAATTACAGATGGATTTCTGGATAGATTAAAATCTGACCTTAATCAATGGCTTAAAGATTACTTTAATGACTACCTTTTGTATTTTGGATTAGCCGGCAGGGAGATGAATGCTCAATTTCAGTAAGCTTATTTAAAATTACGAATATTTTCCTTTACAATACTGCCGGTGGCTTATAAACCTGATCCTAGTTCGAGCCTGGTCCAACAATCTTCGTTGGACATAAGGACCTATGACTACAAAGTGACTTTATAACTCTTAGAAATTTAATTTTCTTAATTTAAATTTTCTAACAGACGATAACAAAGATATGATACGCAGATTATAAATAACATATTTATTTACACATTTAAGCTGAAATTGTTCGTATACATAATGTTTTATTCATATAAACGCTGTAGGCATCTACATAACGTTGTTTGATGCTATATCACCTTTCACCAGTAAACCAAAGAGAATAGAAAATGAGGCATATGTTCTAAAGACTTGCATCTGTGGTATTACTTTTTATACTTATCGTTAATTAACACTTAAAAATATACTTAGTACATGTTAAAGACGGCTTTATATAAGCGAACCCTTCTAGCCGAAATCTCTAGAGTACAATGTGATGTTAAAGCCATAATAGCCAACTTTATCAAGTTATTCTAATTGCATCTTTGAACTACTACTATACTCTGCCTTGTTTTATCGCAGCGTAATCACAACTTAACAGAAAGAGATGAAAGAGTGCTTTTAAGGGGGATTTTTTATCTTCATTTGACTTGTGGCTACATTTCAAAAAACGGCCAAAAATCTTAATGGAACTAAGCCGCTGCACAACCTAAATGTAGATGCCACATCTATAATTCTCTATGAATAACTTAAAACTCTCTATGACTCTTTTGTTTGGTCATAAGTTCATTTTATGTGCATTTTTTTTTAAATAAAACATTCTAGTCTTTTTAACGTGTTCTTTCCCTTCTTTTTTATTATAACTAGATACATTAAATTTTTGATAAACCCGTCTTATAAATACGGGAAAGACAGAAATTGGCTAAAGGGTCATTCTAGTTGAGTAGGGATCCTAATTATTACTTAAAAAGCCACTATAATTTATAAATAGGTGTTTCGCCTACTCTCTACGTGGTACGCCTTATAATTAGGGAACTATGCTTCTTAGTTCACACAGTAAATTTTTAAGAAATCACATCATCGAGTCTTTAAAAGTGTCAATTTGTCCTCTAGGAGTTATGACAACGAAAAGACCCAGGCTTTGAACGACTTTATGGACAACGCTATAAATGTCATTATACGAAAACTGCACCAGGTCAAGGCTGGGTCGGTGAAACTGCCGAACTTTACAATTTATGCTTTCAACGGAATGGTACCTTTTCTATTTATACATAGTCTGTATTTGAACTAAAATTGGAAGGAATAATATTTTATTAATTTCACACGTGCACGTTCTATGAAAGGTGATTTCATGACGACGTGAAATAAACGATTCTTTATTTTTTGTTTTTATACAAGGGTCACGTTTGCATTGCCCCACCCAAAACTTTGCGTTCTAGTTTAAAATAAATATTCACTTATAATATTACAATATTAGAAACAAAACTGTATGTCTCACTCACTCACTTGTTTGAAAGAGCTGTAGACTCTATTCAATACTAGTTATAAGATTAATTTAACCACGGCTTCTAAATTAATAAAAATATATTTCTTATTACTATGTCCTATATCTATAAAAAGTAGTTTTCTTTTTATAGAACCATGTACTTGTGAGACGAAGATTGTCCCGGGAATGTAAGTCTTTGTCTATAGTTACCGCAAAAAATCAAAATTGTTTCAGCAACTTAATTTAAAAAACGGCGTAATGCGAGGACTAGATAGCCTGTATCGACGATCAGTAGCTACTGGTGTTAAGGAAAAGAATATCCGTAAAATTGATTCGCTGGTGACGTTTAGTAACTTGAAGGTAATATTTTTCCCATAAATAGTAAACATTTATACCTATATTTTCGAGCCTATAAAGTTCCCACTGGCAGGTCAGAATTTTGTATATTCTTACGAAACGATATTAGCGAAGTACAGCAGATACGTGTTTTCAATTGACCAATAGAACGAAACCTTGAATATTCTGCTATGTCAAAAAGTCATCGTTTCATCTTAAGTTTTAGATTTTCACCCTCGATATAATTTAAAAATTTAACTCACGTAGATATAATTCACTTTCTATTGGACAAAACTGTTAAGTATTTTATATTTGTCATATTTGAGTTATATAAAATAATACAGGTAACGTACGGCTATACTGCTTTGTTAAATACGGGATCGCCACCCCTAACTGGTACACTAACGTTATCAGTCGATGAACTGGTTGCAAGACTCTCCGTCTCTATGGTCAATAACCCAGAGTCCGTGGATCTAACATTCGAATTTGTTCAGCCAGCTAGGTTAGTAATATTAATGATGAGTTATTAATTCGTTGGTTTGTTTTAACATGCCTATATCCACTTACACTATTTGCGAAACCTATGGAGATATGTTTTTTTTAGAACTGAATCATTGACGGTGGAAGGCCCGGCAAATAGAATGATGTCACAGTTTAATTTCTTACTTGAAAGACACATTATAGCAATTATGAGCAACACTCTGATTCACAATATAAAAATGCTCAGTACATTGTCCCGTTGCGGTGAGTAAAAAAAATATAAATTTAGCTTTAACCGAAAATAAAATGTGACAATTCAAAAAAATAAAATTAACAATGAATTAATTAAGCTATAAACCAGGCATCGTATCACCATTTTATATTATAGATTTATAGAGATAGCTGTAAACTCTCTAATGCCTCTTTTTATTTCCTTCTTAACTAACGTGTTTTAGTTCCAATTTTGGTTCCATTCAACGATGGCGACGAAGCACTTTCAATAGAATCCCCTGAAGATCTGAAAGAAAGCAATGACAATACAAATGGTAAGGATAATGAAAGCAAAGAATTTAAGGATGACGCAGGCATCAACACCGAACCAAAAAAAGATCCAAGTAAAATCAAAAATTTAACGGCGGATTATGTTCTATGGAAGCAAGATAGCGTAGAACTAGAATTCCCGCCAAAAAAAGGTTCACAAAAGAAACAAAAAATGTATATTAAGTATAACGAAAACTTTGCTCTCGGAAAAATAAATAAAAAGATTTGATTTGTACATGTGTGTTAATAATTTCGTTTTCGTCCTATTCGATTTTGTAAAGACTATTATTCATGCAGTTGAATTATTTTATAAACAGTGGCCTTAGTCAAGATGGCTTAGCTAAATTTGTTTGAAAATTTATCGACACGAACTGTTATTTTTATACAAATTTAGCTTTTCGACTTTCTACATACACTTCTGTTGAGGGATCTTGACGAAGCCCCTAATCCGTTACCACAGACAAAGTAGTGATCGGAAGTGTTGTAGAGTCTCCTAAAACTCATATAGATATGTATCAATTGTGACAATTGGCTAGGTGTCATCACTAATGTCGCCAATTATTTGACAACTGACAAATCACCAGAATAAACGTCAAAACGTCAGACCTGACGTCTTAGTGTTGTTGATTGTGTAGACTTTCAAGTAATTTTATTTATCTTCCAATATGTTTCGTAAAGCAACTGAAAAAGATAAATGAAAATTAATCAAATGAACCGTGTGTGGATAAAACAGTCATGACTGAAGAAACCCTGGAAATTGAGCAGCAACTCGACAAATTGTTGACTGATATCCAACCAAATTTACAAGATGTTATCAAGAGGGTAAGTTAAAAGCTGATTATTGCTTTATCCCTTTTTTATGTATCATTAGCTTCTGAAAAAGAAAGTAAATGTATATTTTTCTAATTTCAGAGTTTTACCAATGTTGCAATACAACAAACCAAAAATGGTGAACAAATCAAAACAGACGTTCTGGAAGATACTTCATACTTTGCTAAAAATACTCAGGTGTAAGTAAAGTTAACATATAGGTAAAATCACTATCAAATTACTAAGTACCTGCTGACTAAAAATTAAGTCTAATCAAGTGATTACAAATGAGTAAATAGCATAGAATAATCCAATTACTTGAGGGTGGATATGGCGGCCTTACATTTATATTATGACATAACATAACATTATATTTCAGGACATTATCTAGATTAGAGCTAGTTAAATCTCCAACATTCCACATGCAATCAGTATCCCTAGATCTGAAGTCAATGTCCCTATCATTAAAATGCTCATTAGGGGAAGTAAATGTAAGAGGGCTCTACAGTGCTTTTAATGAAAACCTATACAACCTTATTCCTGTTATGTCAGAAGGTCATCTTGTGTAAGTAGTTTTATATTATGTATAAATTTTATGCTATAATATTTAATGGTATATAATATACATATTCATCACAATATTTGGAATATGGCAAAATTATATCTAACACTATAAAAAATTTTAATACTGTTCCACCTTTATAAACTACTTTGTCATGTTTATACTGAATGAAATAATGTTGAATTTATGATATGTTTAACAATTTTATTAATAGGTCTGTACCAAATGGAAAAATTTAACCAGGTATTTAAATTTTTTCTGAACTTGTAAATAATAGCCTGTTTATTTATAACACTAAATCAGTTAAATTGTGTTTATGCCGTGTTGAAAAGAAACAATGAGTTAGATAAGTTATTAAGCTACACTGTGCAAGGTGCAGTTAGATTTTTTTATTAATTTTATTTATTGTGATAAGTTGTTTCAATTTAATTATACCAAATAAAACTTTTGCACTTTCTTATATTAAAACGGTTGTTAGAGCAACATTAAGAGAAAAACTTATGGGTATAATAATTATTAATTTTAATATAACATTAATCCTTGTTTGAATGACATAAAGCCATACTTTAAACTTCATCAATTGATTTGGCAACATGATTTAAATAAAGAGTTAAAATTACTGCTTTAGAATGTTTATTAACAGCTTAAACATGTGGTTTAAAATTGACATAACTTTATGTTTTGTGTCCTTACAATACCAAGTTTGATATTTCCATAAACTAATGAAAATATTATGTTTCAGAATATCATTGTCAAACATGATTGCAGATGTAAAGGTGGGCTTAGTTCTAGTAGATGACGCATTTTCGTTTATTAACCCCGCTATAGAATTTATTCACGACGAAGTTCTTGTAAAGGTAAAGGTTTCTTGTAAAAACTTTTGTTAAAGTCTAAATTCAAACAACCAAACTTTTGTGTTTTTTAGTAAAACAGAGGCTGGAAACTATTGGTTTCAAATGATTGGAAAAGATTGTTGTCTGAAATGAACCATGTGGCGGTCACATGCCTGTGTTTATTAATTTGATTTAATTTTAAGGCCTGCAGGTGATCAGCCTTCTTAGTTAGTTAGTTAGTTTACATGTAATATTATATGTATATAATTTCTTTCTTTCTTCTAATATATATTAGTTTTAATGGTAGGACTATTGGCTTATATATGGAAATATGAAAAAAGTGGAAATTGATTCCATTTGTGAAAATTCATTGATCTTAATTTTACTTAAAAATAAAATATTTTTTCTGAAAATTTTTCAGTTGTCATGGCCATCACCACAAAGAAATGGAGGATATGAATTCACAACCACAGAGCAACTGGCAAAACATATAGGTATAATTTATTTCTATATCTATAGATCCATGTTGAAAAAAAAACTTGAGCATTTTTGTAGTCTGTGCCTATTTTTTTTTTCTAAAGTTTTGTTTTCTAGTCCTATCGTTCAGAGAATCGTATTGATTACAAATTACTTAATATAAACAAATTTACTTAATTTATTAACTTTGTAAAATAAATTTTATATTTGTTGTATTATTGTATTGTTCCACATGTATATGAACCACGGAAGAGTACAAGGATGTACTTATTGTGTGGCCTAACCTAGCTACCATAAAATTTTGCCTTTCGTAGTGACTCAGCCAAAAACCTCTCTTATAGTACGGGAGGTAGCAACGTTTGAAAAGAAAGAATTTTAGGTCAGCTGATTTTGTGATATGTCTTCCTTCTTGCACTTTCGGTTAGAGTCTGGGCAATCTGGCTGGCGGTAGCGGTTGCGTTCATTAGTGCGCATCCTATCTGTCCAGGTAATAATCCTGGATTTTAAAAGCATTTTAAGAAGCGTAATTTTTAATTTTTCGTTTTTAAATAAGTCTACCTGACATACTTTTTTTATTGCCAGACATTTTTCACATTGCTAACTATGTGCCAGACCCGATTTTAAGTTTTTTTTTTTATAAAAATTTCAAAGTATTTTAGAATGTCTGTAATTTTAATATTATGTAATTTAAATATAATAAAAACTAAAAATGAATTTGCCAGACATTAATTCGATTGTTAAGTCTTGAATTAAAATGAAAAAGTATTGCAGTATGATGAAGCATTGCATTTTAAGAAGCGTAATTTTTGATTTTTTCCTTTTTAAATAAGTCTACCTGACATACTTTTTTTATTGCCAGACATTTTTCACATTGCTATGTGCCAGACGCGATTTTAAGTTTTTTTTTTATAAAAATTTCAACGTATTTTAGAATGTCTGTAATTTTAATATTATGTTATTTAAATATAAGAAAAACTAAAAATGAATTTGCCAGACATTAATTCGATTGTTAAGTCTTGAATTAAAATGAAAAAGTATTGCAGTATGATGAAGTATTGCATTTTAAGAAGCGTAATTTTTGATTTTTTCCTTTTTAAATAAGTCTACCTGACATACTTTTTTATTGCCAGACATTTTTCACATTGCTAACTATGTGCCAGACGCGATTTTAAGTTTTTTTTTATAAAAATTTCAAAGTATTTTAGAATGTCTGTAATTTTAATATTATGTTATTTAAATATAAGAAAAACTAAAAATGAATTTGCCAGACATTAATTCGATTAAAAAATCGAAAAATTAAAAATTACGCTTCTTAAAATGCTTTTAAAATCCAGGATTATTACCTGGACAGATAGGATGCGCACTAATGAACGCAACCGCTACCGCCAGCCAGATTGCCCAGACTCTATCCGAAAGTGCAAGAAGGAAGACATATCACAAAATCAGCTGACCTGAAATTCTTTCTCGAAAACGTTGCTACCTCCCGTACTATTAGGCCTGGAGGCATTAATATGCTGCAACAGTTGGAAGATGTCATTATGTTTTCCTTTTACTATAGAATAAATAATATAGGTTTAATTTTCGTAATTCTTGTATGTTTTAGATGATTTACCGCTAACAGCTGCAATATCTCTGGCGTTATTCGCCCTCCTGAGACAGAAATTGCAGCGACACCTGGAGAAAGTGCTTTACCAAGCTACCAGCGTGTCGGACGTAGTGGGGTGTAATCCTAGTATGTTGGAAGCATATAGGTATATTTGTTATTCCTTTTTTAGTTCTGTAATTTCACTTGGATATTTATTTACATAACGAGGATATATTTAAATAAAAGTTTAAAATAAATTAAAGGTTATATTTTTCATCTCTTATTTTAATTGTGTTAATAAACTTTCATACTCGTAAATTATTTTCAAAAAAAGTAATTTTTTTCAGCGCAATGGTGAATAAATTGAGTGAGAGTGGAAATCGAGTGATCGATATGATTTTGATCAACATGCGACGTACCCTCCTTCAGACGTGTACTGAAATTTTGGAACTACCCCCACTTCATGCTACCTTTTTACATAAGGTATATATATAAGTTGTAATTTTAAATGAGAAATGTATTTTCTTTTATAAAACCCTTTGTACCCGTGTTGATGTAAATTACATATTTTTGTAAACACAAAAATCTATCAAGACTTCACAGCTTTAGATAGACTATAGAATTTTAAAATAAACCTTTGCTATTCAGATAATACTAATATATAAATGTGCTTTTTGCTAGATTATCTTTTTTCAAGTGCCAGATAAATTTATAAGCTTGTTTGAAACAATTATACCGTATGAATGCCACAATAATAGAAACATCTTAAGTGCCGAAATTGGTTACCGATTCTAAATTCATTACAATGATTACAAATAATTATATACCTTATGCTCATGGTTATATGGTTGATATTGAAACAATGAATAAGGTCGATTAAGCAGAAAATCCAAATAAAAAAATTATTCCAGTTTGTATGGGTGGATGATGAAGTCGGGTTGGGTAGGCCTTGAGATGGGACAAGTTATAAGCGACCAGCATGCATGGTGAATGAAAGTGGATAAAGCGAGCGAGGAGTGTCAGAACCGTAGCTAGTGGAGTACCCCTTCGGGGAAAAGGGCGTGAATATATAAGTAAATAAAATATATTTGGGTTCTAATTCCTTTTCAGATAGGTTCAGTATCGTTTGTTGGTAAATTTGAAACGGAATTGGGTTGGGTGAAGAATTTAGCGAGTATAAATCGGGTAAATGATGTCACAGTGACACGCCCAGATCCTGGGAGAACATGTTTCCATGTCACCCTCAAGATCAAGGATTTGCAGGTATTATATTTATGTGAACGTGTGTATATAACTTATGTGAAAAACTTTTATTATTCTTGCTCAAATAAGATTTCCCTTAGTATTGTAAATATTGTTTGCTCTATAGCAATTTTTTGCTAGTATTTTTGAAAATCTGATGAAATCAATGACGGGGAACTTGACAGGTATTTTTATCAACTGACAATTAACTTAATTATAATCATAATGAAAGATGTTTATTCAGATAATATTGTATTTACAATATTAGGTCTTATTCTACGTAGTTGGTCCCAAAGTTCTGTCACTGGCACATTATTTTTAAATTACGAACATGATTTTATAAAAAAATTATTGCATTCTATTTTTGATTGTTTGACTATTGTTTTAAAACAAAAAACAATCACTTTCCGTAAATTTTCAAGATGGAGTGGACATTGAAAGAAAACCGAATAGCTGTTATTGCGTTGCACCGCTGTGGGCACTCGGCGAGTACCATTTTCAAGTTGCTCAAAAATTTAAATATAACGCTTAGGTTTGTGTACCGTACTATTGATAGGTACAATGAAGTCTCCAGTGTTGAGGACAAGAAAAGAACTGGCCGGCCACGCTCCGCAAGGACACCAGCAGTGATCAAAGCTATCAAGGCGCGGATAGCAAGAAATCCTGTCCGAAAACAGAAGTTGATGGCTTTGCAGATGGGTGTCAGTAGGAAAACAGTAAAAAAGGTTTTAAATGAAGATCTTGGTCTACGGGCATACAAAAGAAAGAGTGGGCACCTACTTAATGCTCGTCTAAAAGCAATAAGGCTTAAGAGATCGCGGGGTTTGTTAAAGCGGTACGCGAAAAACCGACACCGTGATATCCTCTTTACGGACGAAAATTTTTTCGGTATTGAAGAGAAGTACAATAAACAGAATGATAGAGTGTACGCTAGGAGTTCTGAAGAAGCTGGAAATAAAGTTCCGAGGGTGCAACATGGACATCATCCATCATCAGTAATGGTCTGGTTGGGAGTGTCCTATTACGGGCCAACTGAGGTTCATTTTTGCGAAAAGGGGTCAAAACCAGTGCAAAAGTGTATCAAGACACGGTTTTGGACCAGCTTGTCAAAGACCTGCCCAGCACGCTATTTTCGGGACATCACTTTGTGTTCCAACAGGACTCTGCGCCTGCACACAAAGCCAAGACCACTCAAACCTGGTTTGAGCGTCAAAACATCGACTTAATTAGACATGAGGATTGGCCTTCCTCCAGTCCAGACCTTAATCCTTTGGACTATAAAATTTGGCAGGTCTTAGAGAGGAAGGTCTGTGATAAACCCCATAAAAATTTGGAGTGTCTGAAGTCATCTTTAAAAAAAGCAGTCACTGAAATCGACATGAATATGGTGCGTGCTGCGATAGACGACTGGCCGCGGCGCTTAAGGGCCTGTATTAAAAATAAGGGAGGTCATTTCGAATAATTTTATGCTATTTCTATTTCTTAATTTATGTACTATTAATTGATATATCACTCATTAAAAACTGATCAGTACTTTAGTTTTTATCATTATTTCTATTTATGACAGAACTTTGGGACCGACTACGTAATGATATTATATCTAGCACCAGCTTCTCATCTGCTTGCCAAGTGGCAAACGCCTCCCCCACTCCTCTCCATACGCTTTCATTGCGCAGGCGTCGCTATATTAGACTAGGATATTGCTGTTGGAAGTGACAGACATCGAGCACTAAAACTGTTTTGATAATTCTTTCATAAAGTTAAACAACGTAATCTAATAGGATAAATGAAGAATGTTACAAAAATTAGTTGTATTTCAGCCTTAATTTCTTTGGAATCCTGACCATTTTTTTATAGAACTGGGGGCAATCGGGCAAGAGGCTCATCTGATGTTAACTACCGCCCATGGACTGCAAGAAGGCTCGCAAATGCGTTGCCGGCTTAATGATTTCATTAATAATATTTATCATTAATTGCTACAAAATTGTGACCTTTGTTCATCAGATTGGTTACGACGAATATAGGGTGAAGGCTTTGGGGGTAGGTTGTACGGGTCGAGTAGTTTCTTCGTTCAGTGATAACTCCATACACATGGCGTTATGCGTGGGTCTGGCTCGCTGGGAGCCCTATGCACAGCTGGATGACTTGCGAGTGCATCATTGCGGGTAAGTTCATTAATACATACAAAACGAATCGTAAAAACAATTAATTTAATACATACATGATAAACCAGTGACGCTACCTTTGGGGCCGTTCAAGCATTACGTAAGCACTATAGAGGGGATTTTCTTAGTTGGTTATTACGTCAACAGAAATTATTTACTTTTTTACACATATTACCTACACATTGTATATGCTTGAAAACGAAATGCATTTCCGAGGATTCCTACAAAAAATTAATTCGTTTGTGTACTAATATAACGTGTTTACTTTTTCTAACAAGAGGAGGAGGAGGGGGGATAAATTGCAGTAAATTTGCTTACGTAATACTTGAATCTATCTGTTTTCGTGATCGTGTTTTTTCTGAATTTTTGGTTATCAGCCGCTTTTGCCTGGCACTCGCCGTCAATTTTGAAATCGACGTTTCTATTTATTGATTCACCGTACGAGCTATTATTATTGTGCTCATAGAAAGACCATTCCATTGGTACATAGCCGTGATTCTAACGTTGGATCGTGCGGCGTACACGCATACTTAGAATACATAAGTAAACTAACACTATCAGTGTGTCAGATTTCTTATATTCCAGGAAAACCATATTAAACAGAAAAATCATTAAATATTTAAAACTCTGCGTACGATTTTTATTCTTAACGTGAATTTGTAGTTTATCGAATTTTTATATTTTATAAAATAGTTGTTAATGAAACAGCTTACATATTAGGATCAATATTTAATATATTTTTTATTAATGTCTAGGGGAATGGATATGCACATAACTGGCCTGGGTCCGCTAAGCGGAGAGTTGAATTCGGTTCGGGGATGGATACGCGGCGCTGTCCGTGCGCACGCGCAGCCCGCTATTGACGCGCAATTACAACACGAATTACGTACAGCACTCACTGAGTTACCGCTCACTGAATTAATAAGAGAGGCTCAGACTTAGATTTTACAGAGCGGATAAAATGACCGTGATAAAATAAATATTTTGAAAGAAAAAAGATTTTTGGCGGATAAATTTGGATAATTGTTACGATAATATTTTTTTTATAATTTTTGGCGGCTTTCCTGTTTGTCTCATTTCATTATAGCTTAAATATTTTTTTAAGAAAAAGACAAATTAATACTATTATAATAACAGTGGCGTAACAACGATAAATGGGTCATGGCCTAAGATTTCAATTAATGGATGAAATCTTAGCAGCATGCGAGCGTCAGTATGTGATTTTTGTCATTTCAAAAACAAAAAACACATACTGACGCTACATACGCTAGCTTCTCCAAATGAATACTCATCAAACTGATTTTTTAAGGCAAATAGGAGTACTTTTATGTTTTTTTGCAATAAATTTGGAACAATATGGTGTTCTGATCAGAAAATAATATAAAATATAAATATATATGAAAAGTACTGAAAATAATGGCCGTATTAATTTTTTTTTCTTTTTAAAATATTGAGTATAATTTTTTTATTAAGAAATTATCCGCTCTGTACTTTAATAATCCTACAGACTACATAAAAAAACTTGCCTCAATGTCCTTGCGTCCAAGTAAATAAAATTAAGACAAATTTGTTTTTCGTTGTGAACTTTTTTAATATTTTTTATTAAAATTGTATTGTAAAGCAATATTTATTTTTATTAGGTTAAATCTTATAAAACCAATTAAAATCGCTATTTTGTTACGTATTGATCCGTCATTACTATATAATTTTTGTATCATTATCATTTATCAGTTTTTTTAGCTTTTCAGTTATATCTTTTGTAAAGTTCACTGAAAAAGTGCTATTCAAACAATTATTGGTTTTTATTCACCAAGACCTTGTCACGAATGATACATGAAATCGAATAGCGTATTATAAAAGCAATCTTAACAGCCTATTTGAAACCAAAGGCAAGCCCGTACATAATATAATACATATAGTAAATATAAATCTTAAAACCATTATGCAACTTACATACTGACAGTCATTACTTATCAACTGTCATTAACTAAAATTATCGAAAACTATTCATTTCACGTAATGTTCGTTCGCACGGGGCCTGCCATTGTGATTGCGCCAACAGACGTAAAGTGACGTATCATGTCGCGTGTCAACGCGCCAACTAGAGATGCTTTCGACCAATCACAATCGACGGAGCGCCCTAACGTTTCATCTTTTCTTATACCTTAGCACTTAGTGATGTTTATTGTTAATATTTTTTTGCACCGAATATTATTACATCACCATAGTTTATAAGTAGTATTTTTAGTGAATTTTATAATTGCATTTTTATAGAATAATATACTTTTTTATATGTTACCGTGTTTACCGTAAATGTAGCATAAATTAGCTTTTTTTGACTTTATACATCTCATTTAATAATTATGTCTTGTCTAGAATGTTCGATGATATTTATTGGTTGTGAATGCCTTTTATTTCGAAACTGTTGTATTTTTCTTGTTTAATAAAACGTTTTTGTTTATAAACATTTGTTTTTATCACTTTTAACGTTATCTAAACCATTTATTATGAATATTATTTTGACTATATTTAATAGGATTACAACCATTTTAAAATTGTTCTTGTTATTTCGTAATAGAATAGTTTTAATGCCCGTTGGTGGTTCTATCGTAAATAAATAGAAAAACTTTAACACCTAATTTCCCAATTTTGTACCTACACATTTACAATTACTGATAATTTTTCTAGACACTAGGCATTGATATACAAAAAACCCAAGATGCACACTCAACGTCAAAAAAACGTCCTCAAATAATGAGCGCAACATTCTAAATTGTGCGCTCATTTCAAATAGTCTCGCGTCTACAAGTGGAGTCGATGTTATTTATTTGTGTTTTTTTTATAAATAAATTTATGTACTCTTGAACTTCTTTGTGTGTAGTTTTTGACAAATATATTTACGCTATATAAAGTGTGGGTCAGGAGGTAGCCAATTTAGCATTTTTTTTTAATTTAAAGAAAAAACTTTTTAACCGGATTAAAGTTATGTATTATTATAAATTGACAACTATTTAACATCCAACACCTTTTGTCTTCACTCACCGTGACCACTCACGCTGTAAAGCACCCGAAAAGTCGGATAAATTTAAAATTATGTTAAATAGTTGTAAATAAAAAAGTCATGTTCGACTCCACTCAATACCTTGTCCTACCGACCACGGTCGGTCGTAAAATTTTATTGCTTTAAGTACGTATACGCTGCGTTGTAATAACAACTTTAAGCAATTCGCGTAAGGTTGATTTTGCAATAATATATGCTTGTATTATATACTGTTATGGACAGAAATATTGTTTCGGGACACTTTCGAGTGTTACTTTTATATGAGACTGTGCATCTTGGGTTTTTTGTATATCAATGACACTAGGGCAAAATAATTTTGCCCTCTTAATTTACAAGAAAATATTTTTTTACTTATTATTTTATACAGGATTTTTTACCTGTGCGCATATGTCAAATTATGTCTGCTGACGTCTTTGAAGTTTGGAGCAAAAATGTTTATTTAATCATAATTAATTTAAGATATTATTTAAATTTCTTATAATGGGAATAATACAGTCGGTATGTTGTTCTATAGTTTTTTGCGTGGAAAGGTAAGAAAACGACAAATGACAGGTTTGTATTAGATTTTTCGGATTACATATTATTTTAAAATATAGGGTTTTAACCTGGACCTGTTGTGCTTTTCTCCTTATGCTGTTAATGTTTACAATCGTCGTACTCATGATATATGGAATATCGGTCGGCTATCATTATGCACAAAAGGAGCTCGCCGCGTTTGCAAGTAAGTATACATTGCCACATAAACCTACGGAAAATCATAATATCTAGTACAATTTAGCATTTTACGAAGTTGCACAATACAATAATACAGCTATTTACTATCTTTGTGACTGGTGCCTATAAGAGGACTATAGAAGACCTGTGGTCACCGGCCTTCCATCGTGGATAGAAAATAATCAGCATTATAAGAATGACTATTTTCTACGACTTAACTAACAAACAAAATAGAACTAAAGCACGAGTGGTTGTGTAAATAAAACTTGTGTAAAATCATTTATCTTTACCTATAAAGGCTATGGATTAGAAATTGTCGGTTGCATCGTAATCAAGGCTTTTTAGAAATTTAGAAACAGCTACTTTACAAGATTTTTTATGACTATATGAGTAGGTATATACTTAAGGAAGAATGTCTGCTAAAAAAACCCAAGAACTCAACATTCGTATCGTTGAATATGAAATAGATTTACTTTGCAAATTGTGTCCTTACGCCGCGCCGTTTGTTAGTCAGTGTACCTAGACCCCACAGTTGTAATCGCAACATACATAGAAGACGCAAAGACGGAGCAGTGTTCACTAATGTGTAAAGGAATTGATCGATTGCTCTTATGCCTGGCAGATAAGTTTATTTATTTACACAAGTTTTAGTTATTAAAAAATTTGAAGTTGTGACGTTCATGTGATAAAGCCCAACTATGAACTAACAACACATGAGCATAAACATACAGCTAGACGTCCACCATGCCAAGTCTTAACAAAATAGTTTTTGTTCTTTTCATTTCGCCCATGGCGCAGGCTATTGTCTTTCGACCATACCGCCTAGTCTTTAGTAGAATTTTTCCTTTAATTATATATTAACCCTAATCTAACCTCGAACATATTCTTAAAATGTGTTCGGTCTATCTTAACAAATTAAGTTTCCGCGCTCTGCTAAAAAAGAACATCAATATAATATCAACATTCGTTAAAATTAACTTGACATAATAACATAATGACAGTGACAATTATAGTAATTAAAACAAAGTGAAGAATATATGTATTAATATGTTTTTTTAGTGTCATCGCGATCAACAACAGAGTCGAACATGTTGAGAGGAGGAGCAGAGCAACCCATCGTAAGACTTGTCGCCGTCAACCGGACGGAGGTTGAACACGCACCACAACCGATCCTAGGTAACGTTTCTTGTGTTGTCCATATTAGAAAATGATTATTTTTGTTTGTCGAACAGATTCGGCACTGGCGGATTTACAAATTTTTAAGGTACCTACAGGCTGTGAAGTTAGCCCTTGCCTGTACAATCCAACAATTTCGTTGAAATTGCACGTAACATAATTTTAGGTTTGATTTTTGAACACAAAATTATACACGAACCATCCAGTTCGCAGCCTCCAACCAGTAGTAGGACTGACATGTATTTGACATTTTCTGCAATTTCGCTATTTTCAATCATACAAAGAGCGAAAGGGCGCAGACGTCGATTACTGATTAGGGGACGAACTAGCTGTTTAACTCTAGAATGTGGAAGTTTGCAACTCGTCATCTGCAAATTTCGTTGCAGACAATGGTTCTATCTGTAAAACATCAAAAAACCTTCATGCAGAAATCTTTTTGATTTCTATGAAGTAGCAAAAAAAATATTCGATTCACAAAAAACAGCCGCCCTAGGCTCCAGCCTACTCGTAAATCCGCCACTGAGATTAGGATCTGTATAAGACCAGAAAATAATAAAACTAGATAAGGGACCGGCATATCCTGCTGTCAAATCTAGTCTTGAGAGATTTTATTGTGCACTAGTGGTGCTCTTATGCGTCAATTTGATCATGTTGGCCACACGGCTGGATGGTGTAGGATAAAACAAAATTAATTTTTACATTCTACCCAGTGGTCTTTTTTTAGAGGTACAGCGTTCGGCCCGAAAGAGAGGCGGCGAAACTATTTACTTAGAGAAGTCTGCGTCGCCGGTGGTTGTTTTAGAAACCGAAAGGTAAAAATAATTGGTTACTGTTATGTCGTACTTTTATCGCGCATCTTAAATTAATAAAAAAAAACTTGTCCTTCTTTTATACCTTATTAAAACTATTTCTTTAAACACAGTACATTTTGATACACTGCCTAGCATACAATTTACAAATTATTTTCTCCATTTTCCCCGATTAGCAATTTCAGTCTTTCCTTTACTTAAATAACATACTATATGTCATATTTTAACCCATAAAAGTTTGACTTCGAAAATGTAATCCTTGTCAAACTTAAATAAAAATACTTATGTCATATTTTAACGCCGATAAAGAAGTTTGATTCAAAAGCACATGGCCTAACGGAACGCTAACCAAAAATGTTACACTAAATTTTTTACAGTTTCACTTCAAAAAACTTTTTGATTACTGCATAATGCGTAACGTAACGCACTTGACATATAACCTGGAGGTTATGGTTTCGGCTCCGGACAAAATAATGTTTCTCCTGCACAGAAAATAGGTAATTTACTTGTCTTAATCTACGGTAATTTTCTTGCCTCAGGCCACATACTAGAATTATTTTAGGACTTAGTCAAAGTCAAAAATCATTTATTCATATAGGTAACACTTATGAACGTCAAAAAAGATACATTAAATGCTTCTAATTAAGGGCGTAGAACGGAAGAGAAGAACTGGCAATAAACCCTCCGCCACTTTTTTTAATCGCCTTAGAACAACTTAATATAAAAAATAAAACAATACGAATATTATACGTAACAGTTCAAGAATACATAGGTAATAACAATGTGTGGGCACTAATGCCGCTATAAGATAGTGAGATGGCGTAAATTTTACATGAATAAGTGTACAAATTGTACCTAGATGAATAAATGACTTTTGAATTTGAATCTGATCGTGAACTAGACTTACGGTGATATTTCAGCCCACCCAAAGAGCCTGAGCTTTCACCACAAGAAAGGGAACTTGCAAAGCGAATAATTGGACGATATCGCCGTTCGAAAAACAGCACGTCAGAAATCCCATTCTTTCGGCCACTCAACAGCACAGAACCAACTTTGAAATCATCTTTAGCAGCCTTTTTATAATATATTTGGACATTGATAGGTGTTTATTAGGTTCACCATTAAATTTTTCTATAAGTGGATATTTTTATAGATTCCTTTTGATTAAATGTTATATTTATAAAATGCGTATACATTAGAAAAAATTTAATAAAGCATTGTATTTTTAAAAATTGTTTTATTTTTGCACAAAAAACTTTACAATGCAGACAAAGACACATTCGTACTTGTAAAATCGATGGATTGGGTTATATTCGTTCTTGTTAAATTGGTATCTAAGGCGTACGATGAATTTGTAACGTTATTAGACAGTGGCGGTGTGTCGGCCTCCCTTCTAGTCAGCCTGTGGGCAAAACCGCGTTGCACTGCTTTATCGACGGAACGCATAACATTCCCACTTGCTAAAGACTTTCTCGCATTTCCTGATCGTACAGCGCCTGCTGCGGCTGCAGCCTTTTCTAAAAATACAAAAGAGGTTTACAATTTTTATAAGGCGTCATAAATATATTATATAAAAAAAAACATACCCATTGCGTCCACTGAATTTTGGACAAAACAATAGTGGAACCCGATTCCAATGCCCATAACCATCACTGTTATCAAAGTCAGCATAAGGCAACAAGTCAGCATAGCACATACAGTACATAGTGATACTCTGAAAATTGTATACGCTCATAACATTTTGGAATTCAAACTCTTGCAAAAAATAAAGTCTTATTACCATTTTAACCATATGCTATAAAAATTAATTGAATTACCTCTCGAGAGCATCTAGCACGATCGATACAAAAGAACTTAGAGAACAACACACACAACCCATTATATTATTAAAATATTACTAGCAAAATGCTTCTGCATGATTTTAAAATGCTTGCGAGATTTGGTGCATTAAAACATTTTTTTTATTTTAACGCCAAGTTAAGAAATAATTTGCTTGCTAAATCAAATTAAAATTTTTAGTGTCATTACTAAATATAAACTTGTATGTACTGTCATAAGTGAATGTCGAAAATAATCAACAACTATGAACGTTTAAAATATTATCATAGTTTGGTGGTACAGGACAAAATTGTCTATTAAAAAAATCTAGTAAAGAAGTTACTAAAACTGTAGATCAAAACTTAGTAAATATTGGGTGAAGCCAATAAACTTCCCCATACACCAACGTTATTAATTATATATACAATTTTTGAATTTTGAAATATAGTCTATTGTTTGTAAACCAGTTTTCTAAATATTTTTTTATTTTTATTACATTTAGTCAGGTAAACAGGTCCAGACGGCACAAGTGGTAGCCATCCACACTTTTGCTTTATTTAGTTGCTCGCTACATCTAAAGAAATGACTGCGTTAGCGATATGTATCTACCAATACAATAATGCCTTGCGTTTTTATCACAAATAAAATATATTATCATATGATTCCGGTATAAATATAATTTAACTTAAACTTTTTCTTTCTTATGTGTCTTCTAAAAGTTGGCATTAATTATGTTTTCTAGTTTTTAACTTTTTATTCAATGATAAAATTTTATAATAAAAAAAATATACCCTAATCTTTTCTCCACTACATCATGATAAGCAAAAGGCGCGCGTCCTTACAGTGCAGTAGTTATCAACAAAGTGAGCAAGCGCGAGAGCCGAGAGTTGACTGATGCTCTCGAGTCTCCTTTGACTCCCTGCTCCCACCACATAAAGCGGAGAGAGCAAGGCGGCAAGGCGACACGAGGTGCTACGAGCGCACACAGCGCACACACTCTCGCTCGCCTCCCATCGTGTTGCCTCGTCGAGAGTGTGCATACTGCATGGGCAATAAGGTTGAAAGGCCTAAATATTACCCCTTGAGTAATTTATAATTTAATAGATTAGTCGCTGTGTCAAGAACATTATCTGTGATTATTTAGACAAAGTATACCACAATCCACATTTCCCCTATTATTTCTGTGGACATATCACATAACTGTGCGGACTGCTGACTCTCTGGACTCTGACTGCATGTCACATGTCATAAGAAATGAAAAATAAATTAAATTTTTATATTAATCTTAAATTATGGGAGACGAAATAAATTCTAAAAGAAAACAAGACCAGCAACAAAATATTCAGAAACGCAGACCTAATAAAAACTATGCGTTAAAAAAACGTCTTCCTTTACGGCCTAAAGAAGGTGATAATGTAATATTCATTACTAAGAAAACTAATTTTAAGGTACTGCAGGCATTATCTACTTTATTTATAAATTTAATCTACAATAGCTAATTTATTTTGTCTATTTAAGGCTCAGTTGGATAAATGTTGTGACCTGCTGACAAAAGGAGAAAAAGATATAATATTGCATGGTCTTGGAGCAGCAATACAAAGATGTTGTAATCTAGCTCTTCAAGTAGAAGCATTATTTGCTGGAACATGTCAAATTGAAGTTAATACAGGAACTGTCGATTTAGTAGGTGAGTAGAGAGATACTTGTAGCCTGTAAGTACAATAGTTTAATGTGGCTAATATTTATCATCTTAATTTTCAGATGACTTGGAACCATTAACTGACGATTTAGAATTTGGTGCACAAGTAAGGCACTCTTCTTCAATCCACATTCGGATATTTAGGACTGCTTTGCTTGGAGCCAACTAGTAAAAATGTTTTTCACACTAAGTGAAATTGTTCAATGGATAGGACTTACAGTGTTTGAGATATGGATAAATTTAATAACAATAACAATATTTACAGCTCTGTTAGCATTAAAAATTGATGGTGTTGTTAACAGTGCTTGGTGGACAGTATTTGCTCCGTTATTTGTAAGTGATGCTATGAATGCATATTTTTGCTGTATAGTATGTATAAGAATGACCTTAGAAAATTCATATAAAGCTTCAGTGTACAGGGCCTCATGGAGTTGCATCTTCTTGGGGTTAACTTTTGTATTTAAATTTTTATTATGTAGGAAATTGCAAGGCGACTCTGCTATAGAGTATAGCGAAGTATTTGCACCTTTGTTTATTTTATTACAGTTAATAGCAGTAAGAGCATGCCAATTACATCAATAATTATCTACGATAATGTAAATAATACAATTTCTGAATATGTTTGTTTTATTGAAAAGTATTTAAAATCTTATGAATTAAAAATTATGAAATAGGAAAAACAACAAGGCAATTGCTAAAACAAAGAATGTATTACTTAGAAAAATTAAAGCAATGCCATACAAAGTCCAAGTAATAGAAATTTTCAACGAAACATACTAAATAACCCTCCTTTTTTCTTTGTTTCGCCACCAAATGAAAAGGTGAAATTATTATTTTCTTGGCTTCCCGTGCCTGTTTCTCGGTTTGGATCACCAGATCCCAAGAACGAGAATTCAGTTCTTTTTATTCCTACAAAAGTATTCATAATCAAACTTTATTCTAATATTAAAATTATCATAAAAATCATACAAGCAATATCTGCAATACCTGCTAAGAAATTGAATATTCCTCCAGATTTATTGGTTTCATCTCCATTATTTTGCATGTCATCTGCTTTTGGAGACATGAGAAGACTTGAATCTAGATTTTAACAAATCAACATATTGAAAAGTTTGTATATATTGTTATAGTAAGAATAAATACTAAATGCTGTAGGAGTAAATAAGCTATGCAGTCTCCTATACAAAATTCAAATAAGAAAATCCTAGAATTTCTTAACATATTGCACAGGTTAAAAACAATTTACCAATTCCATGAAGATAGTCTGAATCACCTTCAGCGTTATCTGTGCATGATAAGTCCAGTGATTCCAATAAACGGTGTGGGCTATGAGCAATGAGCAATCCCTCTATTGGCCTTACAGCTTCACCAGCCTTAAAAAAAATCTCAGTGTTTTCACTAAATAAGTGGTTAATTTTGGGAATTAAATTATTTAGCTGTGATAATTATACACCATAAAGATAATATAAGGTAAATGAAATAGACACTTTTGAGCTCCATCTATTGGTACCTGAGAAGTTGAACCGACTGGGTGATATTCAGTAGTTTCAGGAATGTTTTGTTTGTCTTTATCAATTATATTATTGTGGACATTATTGTTTTCATATTCCTTAGTTTCCCCAACATTTTGATCTTCTACTTTAAAGAATTTCGATGTAACAATGTTGTCTTTTGGTTTCTACAATAAATTGTTTTATAAATTACATAGTTACACACAGATATGATGACCTACATTGTTACAAACACTTAAGAACAAGATACATGTGTAACACTGAAAATGTTTAGAACTGGCCAGTTAGAAACATTGCTAATTAAACGTTTTTTGAATTTCAATTTTAGAACTCTTTGGTAACCAAAATGTAGTATATTGCATTCATTTGTCATTTGTTTTTGTGAATTGGCGGAAAATCTAAAACTCTTGTTACACGTGAAAATGAACCTAACGTGAGAAAATGTCGGTCAATGATTTATTATGACTTTCGTTGTGGGCTTACTCAACAACAAAGCTATGATAGGCTACGATTAGCATTTCTTAATGAAGCCCCATCTCGTGCCACTATTTACAATTGGTTTAACGAGTTTAAGCATGAACGTAGCAACCTCAATGATGATCCGCGTCCGGGACGTCCTTTAACAGCGATGAAGATTACATCAGTGATGTGCGGCACATGATACAGGAAGATAAGAGAGTGACCTATCAGCAGATACGGGCAAGCCTAGGCTGGTATGAGTCATGTTCAAAAAATATTAGGTACACTAACATTTAGGCGTCAGGAGCTTTGTACCAGATGGATTCCCCATACTTTAACCGACGACCAGAAACACCTGCGCATGGACTGGTGTCGCCAAATGTTAGATAAGTTCAACGACGGTGACTCAAATGCTGTATTTGACATCGTCACAGGGATGAAAGCTGGATATATTGCTACGAACCCGAAACCAAAAGACAATCAGCTCAGTGGGTGTTTTGTAAAGAAAGGAAGAAATCAAGGAAAAAAGATGATTACCTCATTCTTTGGTCGGAAAGGTCATTTCGCGACAGTTGTGCTAGAAGATGCAAGGACAGTTACTGCAGACTGGTATGTCAATCGCTGCTTGCCTGTTGTCTTGGAAAAAATGCTTCAGCGCACTCCGCAAAACGGACTGTTGAATAATTGACTATGGCAGGTGTCGAGATAATGAGTCATCCGCCATACAGTCCTGACCTGGCACCCTGCGACTTTCATTTATTCCCAAGAACTAAAGATAAAATTCGAGGTATTCGCTTTACGAGCCCTGAAGATGCGGTGAAAGCGTACGAAAATGCCAATGAAGAGACCCCTAAGGAAAAATGGGCCCACTGCTTTTCTCAGTGGTTCCATCGAATGCGACGATGTAGAGAGGAACGAAGATTACTTCTAAAAACAATTAAACGTTTTGGCAACTTTCTACATTAAGCCGTTTTTTTTTCTTCAAAATTTTCAGTGTTTTACCTACTTGTAATAAACCGTTAGATTTGATTTCTAGGGGGAAAACAAGTGTCTTTTAGATAACAGAATCATATACTTTCTTGTTTAAAAACAAGGTTTTTTTAGAATTTAAATAATAGTAATATTTTTCTAATAATTCTTATTACTAGAAGACAATCATACAAATGTTGTTCTTAAGTAATATATTATTGGCCTTATATTCTAGCGTGAAACACAAAACTCGAACAAGTAACGTACCGTCTGCAGCGTATTTTTGCTATAAATGAACTCAGGGGACGAGTCCAAGTTATTTTTTTTCAATATCATATTTTTTACATTAGTGTAACTATTATTACTCAGAGCACTTGTGTTAAGCAAACTGCTGTCAACTTCCATATTTTCCGGTTCATTTCCTTTTAATTCGAAAGATACTTTTTTCTCTTGGGATTGCTGTAAGTAAATAGTGGCACAATTGTGAGACAAATTAGCAAAAAAAGGTTTTTTTTTATATTTGCAAGTAAACATAAAATGAACTTGTGGGCATGATCCAAACACGTCGCAATATTCCACCATTTCGGAAATTATAAATTTTGGCTTTAAACATGTATTATTTTTGAAAACCTTACCCGGGACGATCCATCTTTTAATATGCCACCTTCTGGAGTGTGCGTATACTTTGTTTCCTACAAACATTAAAACTAGATTAGTGGTTTGGGTGCTAAAGGTAACAATTTGGGATACTTACCAAACGAAAAATCTCAATTTTAGCAAATAGGTACGTATAAAACTAACCTGTGTTAAGTCCATAAACTGTGTGGGTGGCAACACAACCACTGCTTGCGAATTGGAAGCGGTTAAATTAATTTCTTCTATCTCACCAGTTTCGATAGGAGTTTTCTATAATTATTTTATATTAATTATGAACTAAATAGGAAATTGTAGCTAATTGTGTCTTAGGAACATTGTTTTTGGTAATACAAGGATAATCGATGTAAAAGTACGTGATATTTATGATGTAACAGCATGGGACAGATTTCTGCGTCTGTTTCATTAATACTTTACTCTGCAGGCAAGTAGGTGATCAGCCTATTGTGACTTACAGGCGTGGTGAATATAGGAAAACTCATCAAATTATCTTCACCGGATGAGCAGTCAATAGATATCAAAAACTGTGACATTGTCATTTCTTTATTACCGATACGCATAACTAATATTACTTGTGTGTTCAAAAACTCATATATACCTGTGAAAGTCGCTCAGAATTTTTCTTTCCATTAAAATCCTTTTCTTTCGGATCCGCAGCTCTTGTACTATCTTTTGATTCAATCACATTAACATCGTGAAGCTTGCTCGGCGAAACTTTCGCGATAATATCATGAGTTTCATTTTCATTTAATTTAATATCCTCCAGAATATTTATCCGTTTTTTGTTGGAATAATCGGTTTTATCTGCTTTAGTTAAGCTACATACATCGAAGTAGCTCGATATGTAATCGTCTTTTAAGTGTGGAGTGTTAATTTTTTGTATCGTCTTAGGGACAGGTATATTAGCTATTTCGTTATGTTTGGACATTTCGATTTTTTTTATCTGTAAGTGAATATTATTTATCCCCAGTAATTAAAGTCGCGCATTTTATAGAAATCTAGTTCAATATTAAGTTTTTACTAGGGGGAGTTACAGATTATATGAAGTGCCAGTCAAGAAAAGATAACTTTTCTGAAAAGGCGGCGGCTTGCACTATTTTGGAAGTAATCGGGCAACTACCACTACCACCACCTAGTCGTTTCGCACAAGGACGTCTCGTTCGAGATTTCTTGGACATTGGGCCTTTGTAGGTACGGAGTAAGGGACCTTGCCTTCCCCGATGAGCCTAGTCGTTTGCTCCTGGTTCTTATAAAAGTACTTACGGCTTAAAAAGTTACCAGTAGTTTTAAAAATTCCCTTGGGAATCGAAACTGCTCATGCCTCACTCATTCTCACCTAGTTATTTTAATTGGAATTAAATTATATAACTGGACAGTTACAAGCTTCCGAAATACAGTTACCACTAGGCCAGGAGTAGAAATCGGTTTATGGCAATAAATTATTATTATAAATTTATAAATGAATGTGTTTAACTAGTACGGGTTCGATTATGGGAGTAACAGGAAATAATTTAGCAAATGTCGAGATTTACACATACACAGACAATTTATAGAATAAAAATAGATGTAAACGTTCTACCTGATTCAATCGGACGCTCAATACATCGAGATCAACACTTTGGATTTGAATGGGCGGTAACTGAAATATACTATTGAATTAGATTTTTTTGTTAATTCTATAAAAGATGGATCTACATAAAAGCATACAGTTTTGATGTAATATCAATAATATAAAAACGTGCGTGCTCAAAGAGAACTAAGTGTAGCAGTAAGACAATTTAAAGGTAATCATTTTTAACATATAATGCGAGTCGAAAGGTTAAGTAGACAGATATAAGAAAATCATATTTTTTTTTAATTTCTCGGCTAAAGTTTACGCCGTAAATAAAGCCGGTATTACTGGATGTGGTGCGTGAAGAATGCCTCACTCTTACCCGCCCTCGTCATAGCGAGAGATGGCGACTTGTGGTTTCCCCAGCCCCATATCCTCCGAAAAAGTTATGGAATTTCCCTAAGTCAAAAGAGGGAATAATGTAGCACCGTGTAAGAACTTTGATATCGGTACAATACTTTCATGTTTATTCCTTATAAACAAAAGTACAAATCTTTCATCTAGTATAAAGTAGAAAATATCTTACCAGCAAACCAGCACTAATTTGTGGTCTTTCAGTGGAAGCAGGTATTTTAACATCTACATTCATTTTCAGCAAAGCGCTTGACGGAACATATTTCTTCTCTTTCATTATTTGTTTATTGGTAACTGATAGTTTACGTTTCCTTGCGTCATTTTCATTTAGCGTTTTCAAAAACATGGGTCGTTCGATAACAATGAACTGAGCTAGTTTTATGGCGCGTTCTTTATCGAGTGCAGCCATTTCGTATCTCTTTTTATTTATCTGTGTGGACAGCTCATTGGATTGGTTCAGAAGAGCTTTCAAGTTATCCTGGCTTGCTTGGATTTTGTTTTTTATATCTAAATACTTCTTAATATAAGATATATTTTCATATTTCTCCTGAGCAACGGCCCATTCTTTTTCATATTTAATTATTCTATTTTTCATATGCTCTGCATCGTCAGAGCGGAGTTTTTTAATTAAAAGATACTCCTTTTCAGCTTCTACATTAGCAGATTTAATTGTATCCAAAGCAATGTGCAAACTACAAGGTTTTCAAAATAATTAAGCACCAAAAATAACTTGAAAATGTGGGGTAAGGAACAGGGCCTGATGAAGAAATTGGGTTGATTGGAATTGGCCAAACAGAATGACGTATTATGTCCCGTCTACGGACTAGATATGCTGTAGACTTATCACAATCAAACAGAACATGGCGTCGTTGTCTTTTGTTTTACACTCTCACCTGACTGAGACTTAATAGAATTGTAAGAATTAATCGACTGTAAATATTTGAAAGCTTTAAGAAAATGAAGCGCTACATTTCATAATTTAAAATCAACGTTTTTGTTGCTTGGTTTGTACAAAATCAAGACATAAAAAGTACCACAATGTATCTTATGAAGCCTAAAACTATGATATTTGTATTATTACGATGAATGAATATTTCCGTTATTAGTATTTATTTTTTTTTAAATTTGCTTTGACCTTATTAAGTACGATTAGCCTAAAACTGGTGTGTGTGTTACCTCTTTCGTTTTTGTTCATCTAATTTTATTTCCATCTCCAATCTCATATTCGATTTTTTAATAAAATTAAGTTCGACTGTTTGCCTTTTCCATTGCTCTTTTAACTTCTTCAACAAGAAATGTTGTGCTAAAGAATGGATTGCCTTATAAATATTAATTAATTATTTAATCAACTTAGAATAATTATTAAAAGGTTCAAACTTACTTTTTACACAACATTTAGAAAGTGTAACGGACGATTGATGTTCATCGACAATTTGACGAATATTTTGTATTGATTTATCGGCCATATTTTTGATACAAGTTATATTTTTGGTATGATTCAAATTTTAAGATGATGATGATATTAATGTATCCACTATCCCAGATATACGTGAATTAACTCGACTCTGGGCGGGAAATGTCTTTTTTTTTTTTTTTGAGTTTATGGCCTGGTATCTAGACCTTTAGGCCAAATGTCTTTTATTCGATGTTATAGATAAGTAGCATATATAATATTTGTAGTCGCAGACACATAATAACGCAGCGAGATAGCTTGTGTAAGTAACATAAAAAAAGCATAAGAGTAAGCAGGACAGAATAGAATTTCGATTCTGTGTACTATATATATAATCTATACTTTCGTTGTCGGCTACCAAGTTTTTCCTAACGCAACAATTAATGACACGATAATCATTCTATTTTGTTTTCGAACGAAACTAGATACGAAGAAAACAATCAATCTGCGTAACTTACAAAACGACAAACATTGTTCTCTCCCTTTTACGCATTAGGATGGCGTTAGAAAATAAAAATCAACAAATGCCATCGTTGGCTATATTAATGCGGTTTCTATGGCAGCTTTTATAAGCAGATACTACCTTCGCGTTCTACGTTAATCATGGAATTCAAACCATTTTTATTTCTTTCTTATTGATCTCTATGGAGCTATACTTTCTTAACTAACTTCTTATCTGTTGGTTCTGTCTTAAAAATATTATTTGAAGTTTAAATATTAAGTAAGTACTTATGTATTGCTTATCGTTTTAATGTAGATTTAATGGTTTTTTAATCAGAAAAACCAATAATTATTACTTCGTGTTTAAAATTATATATATTGAGAACACGATAGTATAGACCAAGAAAAACAACCAAATATTTTAATACCTAAAATTTATTAACAAAATAATGTCATACAGTTTTTTTTTAAAATAACAGACATAAAGATAATTTGATACAGCCTAGCATTCTAATTTAAACAGGTACTTTAAAAATTTATCCCACCAAAATTAAACACGAACAAACAAAATACGCCGCACGAAGGAATGTTGGCTAACACCGTGTCATTTCGTGCAAAAGCCAGTTCCACTAATACCTGATCGATTTGTCATAAATTAATTATCTGTGGCTATCAGGAAGTGGAACTAACCTCTACTCTGACCATATGTTATACCAGCAAACCATTCATACATTTGGCAGTGTATATTACGATATTAGCACCTGCTCTATAAATTATTTCTACACTTGCATTGCGATCACGTAATAATACTGTTTGTTTGCCAAATTATTACACTAACACCATAAACATCCAAGTAACGGAATTAAACACATACAATTATATCATTTTATACACTTCGTATATAAATCTTGCAATACATATGTACACAATTGCACTGGTTTATAATACAAATTAAACTGACCAAATCACTTTTAACTTTGGCTTGGATGAGTGGGATAAAGATTTAGTTTAGTCGGGCAGCCAACAGTCAATGCAATATTCATGTATCTCTCTGATAAGATTATCTGATTAGTCTATAGGGTAGCTGTGCCTAACAAACTATCTTCGAATCACTTGGAATTTGAACTCATAGCCTTCGCTATTGAAGATCACAAATGCCGGTTCAGCTGCCCGATGTCATACTGCAATGATATCTTACAAAGAAAACTAAAAGTGGGATTCTAAATGCAAAATGAAGAATAAGCTAACATGTCAAGAATTCGTCACAACGAAAGCACAGCCCGAGCATCCAGGAATGTCTACTCTTCGATTCATCACGTCACCCAAGAGGAAACCAGTCAATATGGAATAACTTAATACAAATCTAATGGGTCCCATTGAAATTAACATAAATTTGTACCGCCAACATCCGCTTAGTACCACCGCTGCGTCATCGTGCGACGCGAATTGCCCCGAACAGCGTCAGCGACATATAGAAAATATGGCAAAAAATAAAATGGCTGTATCGTTCTCATAGAATCCACAACCTATCGCCAAGATTAGTATCTCTATGTCTAACGCAGCGGCATTAAGGAAAATCTGGGAACATCAAACACCGAAGGTCCGGCGGCGTTTCAATACTATTCACAGAGAAGGTATTCACTCGGCGCTCATTAACTGTAGGGCGGGGGTAGAAGGATTTCAGTTAGGAGACGTTTGAGAGAGTCCACTCCGGTGAGGAAACCGCAATCGGGGCCATCGTGTGGGGTGGCAGTGGCGAGGGGTGACTCTGCTGCGGCGCCAGCGTATGCCGTATGCGCGAAATCTATCATGCGGATGTCGACTCGTTCTTCAGGACTCTGCGGAGCCTCCCAGCCGCCACGAGTTCTGGCTCTTTTCCCGCTCCCTTCGGTCTCGTTCTCCGCTTCGGTTTCGTTTTCAGCTCGCCACGAATCGCTGCTGGCTGACGAATAGGCCATCCAGCTATCTGCTGAATCGGGACTCGGCGGGTGTGGCCGCGGTGAAGGCGGACCGGCGGATTCGGCATCTTCAAAGCCTCCCATAGTTTCCTCGCAATGAGGGCGGAACGGCTCGCGTTTCCGTGATGATTCCGCGGGCATTTCGTCGTGTAAGGTGGACATGTCAAAGTGTCCGGAAGGCGCCAGTTCTGCGGAACTGCTAGATGCGTCACCCTCGTACTCGGATGTTGAAACACCTGAATCTTCGGGCTGGGGTGTCACGTCACCTTCGTATACGATTAATAGAGAGCTGAAATTAAATAAAATGACTTAGTTAATAAATATAGCTACCTATAGATATATACCAATATTGCGAATATCTTAAGTTATCTAATTTATATGTAGCTTTAAAATTTTAAGTTTTCTCAATTTTAAAGTGAGGAAATATCTGAAGCCTCACAAATGAATTTTGTATAAAATACGGATTTCGACTTTCAACTCACTTCACCCGTTCTGTGATTAGTCGAAAAAATGACAATGATTTTACAACTATACCAAAATTTTATATTAGAATAAGAGCGGTTCAATTCACTTACCACGAATAAAACCTGTAGTTAGTCTGTTTGGCGATGGCCCGTCTTAGTGAATCTAAATCTCTCAGCACCCGGCGTACAACGCGCGCTCTTAAACCGCCACCCGCGGCAAAGAAGTCGCGGAGTGCGTCACGCAATCCGCTCTCAGTGAGACCGCGTCCCCAGTACTTGTCACGTCGGAGGCACGCGCCCGTTTCGGGAAGGTACACCTGTTGATATATACGTCAGTTATGAGTCTTTGTGGATAAGGTAAACTAGCATGACACGTTTGTCACAAGCGCGTTTTTTTATAAACGAGGTGGAAATGCATTTGCGCATCCCCAGCCCCCGAAAGTAGCTCGAGTCTGGGTAAGCAATACCCACTAAAAAGAAGGCAATTTCTACAAGGTCACGTTAGAGATGCTCTGGGATCGGTTTCACATACCACCGGGGCCTCTACGGCATAACTATTACTCTCAAAACCTCCGGTGCAGTACACACTAAATACTGGTAGGAGATGGATTTATTACTCTCCTATTTCTAGGGCTTTTTATTCCGGAGAACGAGGTGATGTTTAAAAATCAAATTTCTGATATTTTTGGAGTGAAACTTCTTGAGGCGCATGAGGGTAAAATTTTACGGATGAAACGCAATAATTATAATATTAGCGTCACGAAGATATGCAGCGTTTTTGTCGAAGAAAAGGGAAAGAGCGATTGAGAGAGAGAGTGAGAATTGGCGAACGTAGCATGTACCAAATAGCCATGGAGCTAGAGTAGGGAGCAAGCAAGTGAGAAAGATCGAGAGAGAGAGTGAGATAGAGCGAACGTCGCAGCACGCACAGTGCCATGGAGCGATAGGTGGGAGAGAGCTATAGTGAGAAAGATTGAGAGAGAGAGTAAGGGAGATCGAGAAAAAATACATGCTATTGGTTGATGTATTCGTTTAGTAGTTACATAATAGAACTTTAGATGGCAATTTTGTCGCAAAACGTCTTGTGCAGTAAACGCAGATGGTTATTATTTATTTATATTATCATTAGCACGTATACAGTGTGAATATAGATATACAAATACATAGAGTGATCATATCTGGTACAGAATCATCTATTGGGGCTTTTACCTTAGTAATAATTAATATATAAAAGAGAAAAAAAATGGTCTTCGTTTGAGGCTCCTTCAAACGCCTAAACCACTGATATTTAAGAGATTTTTAAAAAAGATTGAACGTATGCGACATGAAACTACGCACCATAATTAATTTATCTAAGGTATTGAATATTTTTTTAAATTTGAAAAAATTATGGTGTGTCTGAATAAAATTTATTCCCGTTGGAAATTTTACTTAAATAATTTTTAAGGGGTTTATTTTTTTTTTCCCGGGTTTTTCTCCCCCCGCCCCCTTTTTTTTTTGTGGTGGTGTTTTTTTTTTTTTTGGGGTTTTTTTTTTTTTCCCTCTTTTTTCTTTCCTTTTTTTCTTTCTCCCCCCGTTGTTGCGGTTGTGGTGTTTTTTTTTTTTTTTTTTTTTTTTTTTTTTTTTTTTTTTTTTTTTTTAATTTTATTTTTTTTTTTTTGTTGTCCAAAATTTTTTTTTTTTTAAATCATCATATTATCGTTTTTATATCAATGCGAAATTCCAACGTTCCTTCATTTTTTTATTGCTGTTTTAATTTTATGAAAATTTATCCATACGGATTACTTTCGGAAACTTCGGAGGCTTTTTCTAGAACCTCTAAACGTCAACATCTGTTAAAATATAGAAAAACATTTTTTTTGATTCATAATCAAGAAATATTTTTTTTTTTTTTTTTTTTTTTTTTTTTTTTTTTTTTTTAAAAAACATTTTCTTAGACTTTATAGAGGACAGTTAAAAAGAAGAATAATAAAAATATGTATAAAAAAAAATTAAAATAATGAAACATAAAATTTATTTTAATTCGTCCAGCAAAGCGGGCTTGTAATATAAAACGTAGAAAAATTTTTTTAACAGCATTATTGATTTTTAATTTATAAAGTAAGTTTTATTTCTTGAACTTTATGTGCACTTTGTTTTTTTTTTTTTTTTTTTTTACGCACGCACTTTTTTTTCACGTTTAATTAAGTACATAAATAATTTAAGTTTTGAATTTTAAATATTAATAGTTTATTAAATATTAAAACTAAATTCCATTTTTTTCATCTTTAATGGTAGGAATTTTTTATGTGCTAATACACGCTTTTAACACATTTTTCTAGGCGTCATTCCGGTCGAGAGCTATCGCACATATTTTTAAGAGCAGCTTTTTCTCTTTTGTTCCTAAGAAACTTGTGACGTAGACATGCACTTTGTACGCACGCACTTTTTTTTAGTTTAATTAATACATAAATAATTTATGTACAGTTTTGTTTATTTTAAAATATGCAGAAGCTTTATTAATATCGTTTAAATTAAATTAATTAATTCTGACAAACAGATTACTCATATATGTGTTTCCCCATTAAAGATAATGACACAATAGTTTTATCTTCGTCAGAGCATTATTATGTAAAAGGATAAGGGCACATATGTTACATAGTCTAGTCATTAAATGTTACACAATACTATCTCGATGATGTAATCATTAAAGAACATATGTATGAGAATACTACATGTTTCTTATAAGGAATAATATAGCTAGTTATGTTTTATAACTAGCTATATTACTATCCTAACAGCTCTCAACACATCTGCTCATAGTCTAGCTGACTGATTGCAAGATAAAGACTTATATTTAAAAAAAAGTTATGTTTTATATCAGAAAGAGTGTTCAGTTTTGCTCAAGCCGAATACCTATAGTAAAGAGAATATCTCTCTTTTAACTCGCTATTTTATTTTATCACGGTAAGGAAAATATACGTAATAAATGTAACATCATAATATTTTTTATGATAACAAAGATTATTAAACAAGCTTTAGTTTAACCTTTAAAATTAAAATTCTGAAGAGGCTGTCTTTAGGTAATAGCGCCTATAAAACTGAAAATGCCTGCGCAATCTTTGGCGGTAGTAAAATAGACATCATTGCGAAATATTTTACAAAAGAAAAATTGGCGGATAGATAGCCCCTATTTGCTGTCGTTAATTTCTCTTAAATTTCCTCCTCCTTATGCGACAAGACATACAAAATTGTTCCATGTGCCTCGTACGAACTCAAATTACTTGCATAATTCGCTAATGTTTCGGGTTTTATCTATGACACTAATTATGAGGATATTGATATTTTCCACCTCACCAAAGAAGATGTGAGAAAGTATTTGACGAGGCGGGTAGACTCTGATTTTGTTTAGGCAGTGATTTGAAATATTCAGTATTATTTGTTGTTTTAAATGTTAAATTTCATTTTTCTTTATATAGTTTTGTCTATTAATTTACTTGTACATTTGTTTTCTGTTTCGAATAGGTATATTGTTTATCTATGTAATCTGTTATGGCTTTCTGTATTGTCTAAGTGTTTTGTTTTATAATATACTAGCAGACCGGCCAAGCGTTGCTGTGGCTAACGTTTTTGTTATATTACATAGTAGCAAACTATTCAAGGGAAACGGTAGGAGAACACCAGTCATGGGGACCACTATGCTTTTTTGGTTTGCCATCAAATTGTAGCTTATGTGAAACGTTGGTACTGTGGCTGTTGGCTATGTTGAATAGCGCCATCTGTTAGAATTGTGAGTATCAAATCAAAACAAATATTTTGCAATAAAATAATATTGCGGGTATACATTGAGATGTAAGCTATCCTATCTTTTAAGTTAGATCAAACTGCACACGGTGTGCAAATTTGATTGATATCGGTTCGGTAGTTTAGGAGTCCATAGCGGACAAACAACGTGACACGTAATTTATATATATTAAGATATGTTAGCTGTAAGATTACTTATAATTAAATAAATAAATAAAAAGGTCGTCAACACACCTGCATCCCACAAAGTCGAACTCCAAGCGAGCCGGACGTACTAGCCGCGCATTTAGCGATTTGCTTCGTCCGTTTCTCAGCGCTCGCATCGTCGCCGTGCTGCCGCGTGCCCATTTTTAGATCGAGCACGCATGGCCGACGATACGACGACGTTATGTTCTCCATCATGAGAAAATCTGTAAGAAATTGCTATTTTTAGGTAGTCCTAAACAAAAATTTACATCGAAGTTTTACTAAACATACTAAAAGTTATCAAAGGCACATCGCCTGTTGAAGTTGTTGTGTAATTTGATATCATCAAGTGGGTCTTGATAAGTCATGACTTTAATTATAATCCTAGCTACCTACTTACCTATCTACATAATTGTTTTAATTATATATTAATATAATGCTAGAATAAATCGGTTATACAGTCGACTCTCGATAATTTTGAACAAGGGACCAGAAATAAATTCAAATGACCAAGAGTTCAAAATAGCAAGCGATTAATAACCACGAGGGGGAGGATTAAATAAGAATTTTATCAAAATTCGTGATTTATTATTATTATTATTAATTAAATGCAATTATTCACAAAATGTTATTTCGAATCTGTTTTTGAGTGAGCGAATACAGTCTATTATTATCCAAAGAAATTAAAAAAAACAATTGACAGGTCTGTACATGATAAACACTTCAAATTATAGACAGTAGGGAAGCCTGGACTTCAAATTATCGCATACCGAGGGGACCAATTAACATTGATTTTATTCAATTTATCGAGTATTTTTCAAGGGACTGGAAAATAATTAAAATTATCCTGAGTCGACTGTACTTATGTCGTAATCCTACACGGAACTTCGTATCAGTAGTTTGTGCACTGTTCCTAGGTCATCGGGGTCTTTATTAACCACTTGTTCGCTATGAAACGAATGAATGCAATGTAACTGTTGAAGAGAGTGCCTACGTCTGGCTCTACTTTATAATTAGGTAATTGCCACGCTCTTATAAAACTAAAAAAGCCTGTGAGTAAAATGCCAGCCTTGGTTCGTATATGCACTATGGAAAATCATAAACACAACGATACTCGGAAAATTTATTTCGTATCAATCAGATCGTTCACATTATCTTATCTCGTGTAATAAGATAAACCGTAATTACCAATTTCAAATAACCTTTACCGCAAACAATGAAACACAAAGAGCCAACTCACATTGTTTATTTGAATTATCCATATGCGCAATACTCTTGAGCACTTCGCTGGCGTTGCCGTTCCGATGGACTCTAAATCTGCAAGAAAAAGAGAGGCCAAAATGAGCGAACGCCTTTACCCAATACGGACAACCAAGGAGCTAATCATTGAAACACAAGTGCAGTCGTTATCGGTATATTGTTACATTGCAATTAAATATCATTACCACGATTCCACGATGCAAGTCACACAGGGCTCGCGTTGTGAGTGCTCGTGCATCGCTCATTAGTGGGATAGTCATGTAAGTATGAATAAATGGCGACGTCGACCCCGGGCCGGCGTACGTCAAAGATTCTGAAATATGATAAAGGACACATGACAAGTGTCGAGGAGGGTGCGGCGCGAGTGCACGCGGCTTCGCCGGATACGCACTTGAACACATCGTCGCGCTTGCGCTTGCCCGTCAGCGACTGCTTGCGCCCGTTCTCGTCGCGGAAACACGGCGAGTAGCGCTTTTCCAATTTCGTTCCACCCATGTGAGATGCCTGCATCACGCCTGTAACAAACAGCTTCCTCATAAATATGTGATATACAATTGCTTAATGTTAAATAAGCTAGTCTCGTGACAATTTTTTTTATATTTTTAAATTAAATCACTGTTTAATCTCAAACTGTTTAAATTCTGCCTGATTAATGGAACTTACGGCAGATCAATTTGACAACAAATTGTAGTAAAATAAATACAATATTTACTTACTATCGTGCAACTTGCGAGCGTTAATTTAATGAAACGTGAAAGTTTTATCGGATAACGTAAGTTAAAAGGGTTTGTATATCTTTTGTGGTGTGTTTCTGTATTTTGTTTATAAGAGAAAGATGAATGTTAATTGTCTGCTCAATTGTTGTGTATCTGTTAAAAGTAGTGCTGTATATGAAGTCGTGATTTGTAATGTGTCGTGAAGGCTTTAAGTAAACGTTTACAAACCCACAATGTAAAATTACCGCTAGGGCGCTAATAGGGGGCGGTTGTGCGATGAGCCTCCGGCGTCGCTCCGCCCGCCGCAGTGCCGCGACCCTTGCGACAACAAGGAAACTAATATTGTGTTCCTGACCCTTGCCCGCTCCCGCTCGCGCTCTTGCGTTCAAACCCGCCACCCGCGAGCACTCGGCTCGGCCCTAATGCAATCGACGCCGTTAAATTCCACCGCAAGGTGCAATGGCGTTAAATCCTAAACGTTCATATTACACTTAGCCAATTGTTCAATATAACCAGTATAAGTGTAGAAAATTTCCATGGTTATAAGTTTATCATCATAAACAACGATTACGATATCTAATATCTGTATAATGCACAGCGCCACACAGATAAAACTAAAGTAAATAATGAGGACGTATCCGCTCTTGAAAGTCAAAATGCATAGAAAACTGCGTGTTGGCTACGTGCCTTTTCGCACGCGATGCCTTTCTAATTCTGTGCTTTATGGTGAAAATGGACTATAGAAATAGGTCCGTAAAATCGTAATACCTAGTATGATTGCGGTCGGCGGGTTTGCGTTTTACCTCTCAGGCGTCACACTTTCACGTTATTCATATTTTGTTTATGATGAACACGATAATAGAGCAATAAGGAAAGTTTAAAACACAAGTCCCAAGCGTACATACGCACTAACAAACTTAAGCGTGCGCCGATAGAATGATAAGATAAAAAATATAAAGAAACAATCATGCGTTCATCGGACCACTCGTTTTCCATGACGTAACTATAATCGAAATCACTAAACAATATTACTTCAAACAAAAAACTTCCTTACTGCTCAGTAATAATATTAAACAGTTTATGCTAAAAAAAACAACACGGTAATTGCATTAAAAAAAATGAGGCAAATGAATGAAATGACGCATCCAGCGAAATAGTAAAGCAAGCTGCCCGTTAGGACAAAACTGACTCAAAGTTGCAAAGTTGTAATTCTCACCTTTATATCTGGGGACAAAGCCTTGGATGTCTTCAGGAATGTTCTGGTAGAAATGCAGTTCTCTGATATTGAGGGGTTTGATCACGGTACTGTCGTTGAGAACTAGCAGTCTCGTGTGACCGCCAACCTGAAAATTACGATTTTTACATAAGAAAAAAATTACAATTAATCATAAATCTTTCTGCTGTTAAACATATAGGAAATCGAGTAAACGTAGCAATAATTACATAAAAGTAATCAATACATTGGGAAATGTTGAAATTAACGAAGCTCTAGAAGCAAATAGGCCGCAATTAACCATAGACCTTCCGTGATTATGTAATGTATGAAGCAATTCCTTGTCAGTTACTTGGTGAGTTGTTTCATTAGTCATATAACAAAGCGACTATGTCTGTATATAAGGCTTTATTACAGTAACACATTAAGTCTCTATCACAAATTTTGACACGGAGTAAACATACTTGCGTCAAATATTTATACTGATTAAATTGCGACATAATAAATGTTACCGATCACAAGCTCCTGAAATACAGTTTCCAGTTACAGACATGTCTATTTGTTTCAGTTTATGACAAATTTGGGGGCCGCCCTTTTGTAAAACGTTACGATGCAAGACGGGGATAGAATTACGCGTTATTGTTAATATTATTTTCGAGTTTCCAGTACATACTTTATACCACATAATGGTAACTTTTAGGTATAATCACTAGGTGGTCTCGAAACGTTATATTATACTTGGGTACAGTACTGTACTTGAGTACAGAAAAACGTTACGCGCGTTACATGGGGGGGAGGGGTGTCAATAATCTCCAAAAATTGCCTGACGTAATACTTGAACGCTCCCTAACCCAGATAATGACGAAACTAAAAATAAAATATATAATCTTCAATATTAAATACATAAGATACAAAATCGCTAATGTGATCTCACTCTGCCAACATATAAAGATGTCGATAGTGTCGGAGATTGAGGAGAATTATTATCATTAATATTGACAATTTTTATACAACTTGTAATATAATAATTACCGTACAAATACCGGGTGACGCAATATCATTCATTATTGACCAACAGGCACACGTGGTTGACGGGGCTTTTTAGGAGATATTGTTATCTTATCCGATAAGGTTATATCGTAACAAACATGCCCCATATAACTATGTTCTAATAATTTCATACCCACGATATAAAAAAGATCAACCTCACCCGTCCCAGTATTATACAATTGGTCAAAATTGGCTTGTAAAAATAACGATTGTTCCATTGGATAAAAAAATTATGGTCAAAAGTCGTCATAGTATTATTTAGAAGTTCTTATGTCGATATTAAAGTGCTTCAGTGGATCAACGCTTTAATATTCATAAGTATAAACTTATTGCCATAGGGCAAGGAGTACAAATAAACAATACTGCAAAACTCATCAAACACGATTTTTAATTCCATCTCATTTAGTTTAATAGAGAGTGAGTGGGATGGATAAAGCAAATAGCGCAGTGGATCGAATAAACCGAGGGTCGACATACACTCAGATGGCATTGACCTGTGCGGTCGAAAACACCTCGTACTAAACAGTACGGTCTGGATCACCTCTCAATCGGATAAAAATACTCTGTATAGCATTGTAAACAAATAATTTGCAAATCCTACGATACAAAATATTGCGCTGCATAGTTTTAGTATTAGACGTAATCTATAACTTCACGTAACACGTTAGCAATAATAAATTAATGACCACAAACCATCCTTTTGTGGTTTAATAATACTGGCGATTATTCAAAGAAAAACATCATAAAATTGACCCTGCATATATTTAATACTAGTATTTGGCTGAATATGAAAACGTAATAACGGGTTTTACTGCATACATATGCCTAGGGAATACTAGCTATGGCTGCGCAAGAACTACGCAACTTGAATAATTTTTATAACAAATCAATATTATAAGACTACTAAATTTTGAAACAGTACGAAATACATGAAAGTCCTCAAAAATCCAAAATGAATTTGCAAATAGCCCAAAGCAATAATAATCTTTAGAGCGAAAAAATAGAATGAAATTGGCATGTGAATAAGAAAATAAACCGTTAGAAATAATTAAAAATGCGGTCTCGTTCCACTACGTTCCGCACAATGAATCTAGAGTCGGCGTTTCAGTTGTTAGTACATCAAGCGAATTTGTGTAATAAAAATAGTACCAGTCCAGGAATTGAACGATACTCATTACGTAACGTAGGGTTTGTATACCAGTGGTACTACAACCATTTGAATAAAAAATAATAATATTATATTATTAATATTTGCTTTAAAAGTAATACTGTATATTTATTTTATTTTTTATTTACACTTTTTTGCAATATCAAAATTTAACATAATTAATTACATGTAAAGGAAAAGCAACTGGCGGCCTTATCGCTTTCGAGCGATCTCTTCCAGGCAACCACTGTGAGAAAAGAAAAAATTATTAAATTACATAAGGTAGGCAAGAAGTGCAAAAAATAAAAATACATACATATAGTTATTAAGAAGAAAAAAAAGAAAAATATTATGATGGGTAAAATATTTCAAAAAACCTTTAGGTCTAGATTTCTGTATCTGTTTCGTGACCATTTGTTTTTTCTAATATTTCACAGATCAGCTATCTGCCGGACACACGCCGTCGACTTTTTAGGTCTAAGGCATGCCGCTTCCTCACGATGTTTTCTTCACCAAGCGTTACAAGCGCACATAAACAGAAAGTCAGAAAGTGCACACTAGGTATCGAATCCACAACCTCAGAGATAAACGTCATAGTTTAAGCATAACCGTCTTAACTGTTAAAAATTGTTTTACTTTAGAGCTTTTCTATTAAAATTAGCTCAACCATATATTAGATGAATATCATTCCACGCCCAACGTGACATTACTAGACTTTAAAAACCTACAATAATACCTTATACAAAGCAAAGCAGTAATACAAAATAAATAGTTATGACGTTCACCAAGGCTCTCAAGGCAATACATCAAAATTGGCCGCTGAGTCGTCGCGTAATAAGATTACTCATTCGAAACAAAGACCTAGGAACAAATAAGCAACGAGCCTATAAATGCCTTACATTTTCCTTCTAACCGTCATTCAATATTATCAACAATGATATTTAAATACGTGAGCAGTGTTTGCCTAGTGGCTTCAGCGTGCGACTCTCATCCCTGAGGTCGTAGGTTCGATCCCCGGCTGTGCACCAATAGACTTTCTTTCTATGTGCGCATTAAACATTCGCTCGAACGGTGAAGGAAAACATCGTAAGGAAACAAACATGTCTTAGACTCAAAAAGTCGACGGCGTGTGTCAGGCACAGGAAGCTGATCACCTGCCTATTAGATTGAAAAATGATCATGAAACAGATTCAGAAATCTGAGGCTCAGACCTAAAGAGGTTTTAGCGCCACTGATTTTTTCATTGATATTTAAATACACGATCCACATACATATTAAGAGCGCGCATTAGGCTTGCAAAATTCATGATTTCACCTTTCGCTCTAGTGTCTAGTGAAACAAACGTATTCCTGAAGTTCGCGTGCGATGAGACGGACGATACAGTGTTCCACGGAACAAAACAAGAATAAAACTCTTGGCACGTTTTTTTTAATCTTCTGCTTAAATTTTCGCGTGGTTTCTGAAAACGGGAAAATTTTACGTACCACAGTTCTTTTCGGGGACACCGGGACTCGTAATTGTAAAAAGGGACAGTCCTGTTTAAAACGGGACGTCTGGTCACATTATGTATACCCTCTCCGGCGCGATTGCTCGTGCGGAGGGTTGTGTGGGATTCAGTTACTATTATACCCTATCCACGAAAACCCCACGGTATCGTCTCCTATGGACGGAGCCGGGTAACAGCGAGGCCTGATCACCGCCCTCCGTCCAGCTACTGTTTCGTTTTACGCAGCTTGTCATTTTTTTTTCTAGAGAAGATGTGCGTCTGTTCTCGCGGGGCATTTCTACCTCCTTTGTCTTTAAATCGTTGTTTAACTACGAATTTCACTATCCGGGGAAGACTTAGTTCTCACGCTTTCAATACTTATATATGCTATGATCCGTTATATCAACATTTTTTAAATGTGTAGTACTCTCGTATTAAACCAAATACAGTAATACCACTGTTTAACATTAAACCTTAACCGTATTATTTAGTTTAGTTAAAGATAACAAATGTTTTTATTTTTTATAAATCTTTTTTTTTTGGACACAGCAACATTTCGCTACACATATGTTGTAAGACACGGACTATATAAAATTATAAAATTTTATTATAGCATTATTCGTAAGGTTCTCTTATAATGTAAAAGACTAATATAAGTATAATGGGCATCAATGTAATCCACAAATATACACTGGTATGGTATGGTAATTATCGTAACCATAAATATAGTATTCAGTTCTAAGTACACGCACGTCATCAACGCGTAAGTAGATTAGTGAAGTAAAGCGATTATAACAAATCCTAACTAGAAAATAAATAATGCTAATGGGTTTTAAAAGGTAGATTTAACTTATTTGTTCACGTTTTATACATAATTTAATAAACATCTAATTAGTTTAATTTTATATTTAAAAAAAAATCAAATTTGAGGGGAGTGACGCTATGTCAATGTCTGGGTTTAATTTATATAACCCCGACATTACGATAGTATATGATTACTTTTTTGAAGAATCAGTGGTGATGTGAGAACACCTGTATATTGTCTATGGTTTAAACGTGTAAAAAATTTGTTTTATACACTATCGACAAATAAGCGAAGTGAACAAATAGGACAATACTTGTAGAATCTATAATTAACAAAGATTTATTTGTTCTCAAGAAATAAGACAATTAATATTCAATTCGTTCAACGTTAGAATTTTTCTCGTAATTGTTACACACCGCCGTAAGCATCCATTGTTTTTATATATTCATACTTCACAAGATGGCGGATATAGTCAATATAAATATTCAAGGAATCACGTAAGTCTACAAGACACAAAAAATACTAATGTAGTATCCGTTGTAGAAGGTTTATGCAATAACAAAAAATATATAATCTATGTCTTGTATTATCTATGGACCAGTGTATCTTGTCAAAATCAAAATGGGTTACTTAGAGGTCGATATAAACAAAAACTATTTACACCTTCTAAGTTTATGAATCGACCCTATTTATAAGCACGTTTAACTTGGTAATTGACGAATTGTTTTCTTAAAATTTAATGAGAGAGAAATCACGTATGTCTACAAACCACAGATGAACTAAATAAACTAATTTTGTCTCTCAATGACCACAACCGGCTTAAAGCCATAAACAATTTATACATATAATCTGTGTCTTGAATAATCTATGGACCAGTGTGTCTTGTCAACATCAAAATAGGTTTCCGATAGATCGACATAAACGAAAACTGATTAGGTTTAAAAATTGACCCTATCTATTAGTGGTATTAACATGGTATTTAACTTAAAATTTAATGAGAAATTAGTGTTATTATATATTATATAGAATTTTGAAAGCAATTTCGCTATGGATATTTTCAAAAATAATTTGGGAACCCCTTAAGCCTAAACATTGATGGAAAGTTTCCGCTTAAAATATATACGTTCTATCACATGTGTATTGTAATTCTATTACACATTACATACAGCAATATAAATGGCATTGACATTGCTCAACACTTGTACTGTAGATCAAAATACACGTGTATTTTTATTTGAATGGAAAAATCCAGCGCGCGCAGTCAAAGTTCTATTAACGATTCAGATCAACATCTCAAACTACTGTTCTGAAGGCTGAATAACATTTTTGAAATATGAACCACTTTGATATATTATTATTAGTTTCTGTTAGTTATAAAATAATAGGAAATTACACAACGATCATACATACCATCGATTATAGAACAAATAACTAAAACTGGTTTGGAAAGGACATGTGCATCGCGACAAGTGTTTATTGTGTAATATTAAAAGAACTTAGTTGCTAGATTAAAGATGAGCGACTAACCTTAAGCATCTAACCCAGTGTATCCCAGCCTTTTTTATGCTATGCCCCATCTTAGCCTTTCTAATATTTAATATTTCTCTCCCCCCTCCTCTCCTTAATAACATCCATAATTAAACAAAAAAAATGTTAACTTAAGAAACTTAAATGATATGTTTTAATTGCAAGGAAATTGTTAACAAAATTTTCAAAATATATACTACAAAACTGAAATTCAAATTCCAAATACATATATAATTTCAATCAATTTTCCCCCTTTAATAATAAAATTGTCTCCCTACCCTATACCCGTTGCTTACAATAAAGACGCTAGTTCGCATATGCATGGTGATCGAACTCTGAATTCACCTTTCTAGGAGTGACAGATCACTTCCGTGAATCTTCAAAGGGAAGGTGATACGTTTTTTAAAGACACAGTCTGAAGCTCGTGGGAGTTTTTAGATAAGTTTCTGACGTGCTGACATATGACTGATTAAATGTAGCTAATTTTGTTGCTAATTTGTAATTGATTCATCTTATGTACCACTCTCCTGAACAAAATGTGCCTTACTAAGAAATCCTCGGCCAGTTAGATGCGCATCGACAAAGAATATGTACTCACTTGATTGTGTAGAGGCAGAACATCCACCTCATGGCCATCGTCTGGTGACAGCGTGTGCGCCGAGGCGGGCGGCTGTGTTCGCTTGCGCTCGCTTCGCCGCTCCGGCTCGCCCATGCCCCAGCCAAGAGAGTACACCATTACTTCGGTGGAGCCACCGCCGCCACTGTCCACCTACAACAAATATCCTCTTATAGTCAATACAATTTGCAACTGGAAAAAGAGTCTAGAACTCTCCAATTTAACTAGTTCTTAGGGAGCGTTAAAGTATTACGTAACGAATTTTGGGAGGGGGGGATCCTTTTGTTAAACGTTACGATGCGGGGCGGGGATTGAATTATGCGTTATCGTTAATATTATTTTCGACTTTCCAGTACTTTACACCACATAATGGTAACTTTTAGGTATCAGTAGGTGGTCACGAAACGATTTACTATACTTGGGTACAGAAAACGTTACGGTGCGTTACATGGGGGACGGTGCGTTACATTGCAATAATCTCCAAAAATTGCGTGACGTAATACTTGAACGCTCCCGTACACAATGTAGAATACAGACTTATTTCAGGTACTTTAAGTATATTATGTTGGTGAGACTAGCAGGTCATGTGATAAAGAAAGTGGAATCAAAACCAATAAATTGGATATATGTATATATAAACGTTCTATAATATTTTCCCTTATAGAGACACTGTATCATCTTAATTTATATTATGAATTATCTGGCTTCCTAAGCACAGAGCAATGTACTAAACGATTTGGTATTTTCCTTGACCCAGTAAAGAAGGACGCATTAATTAAACAGTCTTAAATAAATTTACTCAAAATCCCTTATTTATCGTTGATATACAGTAATTACTATAATATTTACATAACACACATTTAAGACATTCAACTTGTCAACTGAAATATTAAGATAACAATATTTGTTATTTACGGCCTCCGTAGCTTAGTGGTTCACACATTTGACATCAAGACAAGTCCTGGATGCGATACCTTACGACATAACAATAACATTTACAGCACAATGCCATTGAGAAATGACGGGTTTAACCAAATTAATTATTTACCACAGATTAAAACGAGATTCAACACGAGGATAAACATGAATAACTAAGAATTTTCATTCGTAAATCTACTGGGCAAAATACCAAGTAACTGTGTGACCTCGGCAGCAAGTCTGACAATTAATTAACAAAGTTGTCATCGCTGTCAATCAGAGTTCACATCCCTATTATATTTTTGGTTTAGAATATACAAAACCACGATTTCACTTTCATATGAAATTATCACATATCTTTTTGTTTGTGTGTATTATATGCTTACAAGCTAGTTATAACACAATTATAGCCGAAAACTAATAACGCAGATAAAAGGTAAAAACATAATGTAAAAATATTGTATAGTTGTATAATTTAAATATAAAATTCATAAAACCGTACCGACTGTAGGTTACTGTAACATTATATCGAGTTTAAGACGTTTAAATAAGACTCAGCTTTTTTAATTTGATGGTTTATTAACGATTTATCGGATTTTATCGCTTTTGTAAAAAATATCAATAATATACATACAACTAAACCAATTTCCAAGAACATGTGAACAAAGTTTCAATTAAATGACTCACCTGTAAGAAAGAAAATAACGATCACGTGTTTTCATTATTTAGTCTAGATTAAACTGCGTATTAAAGATATTAGAATAAATATCTAATATGAACTCATATATACAGTTCTTATCAAACCAATATTGAAATTGTCTCTGATAAACATAATGCGTAATACATTGAAAAGACTTCGTCGTGGTAGTTGGATTTGCAAACTCCAACGAAAACGTTTCTTATAAACGCCACCTTAACGATAAATGCTTGTGTTCTAGGCGAACTAAATGCTTGTGTAAAATGTCTGCGAAAGCATATGTCGAACTAATATTTAAGTTACAAAAAGTAGCACAAGAAAGTGGTCATATAAATTTATAACCGAGAAATATGTCCAAAACATTAGGACTTCTTAAGAAAATATTCTTCATTATATATTGACTTAAAAATAACTCAATAACATTGTCTGATGTAAGTCTAGTATAAACTTACAACAGAAGCATTATTCATACGATAATAATGTCGCAAGGCACTGAACTTTCGAAATGTTATTAATATGGGAAAGGCACGAGTCAACTTTATACCAACAAAGATATCGGTAAAGTGTTCAAGACTGAACAAAACTAGTTCGGTGGGGTCTTCTTCGTGCAGTCAGGTCAGAGAACCGGCCTGATTGGCTGCTGACCGTCCTGCTATTAGGTTACTGACCGTACATTTAATAAAATCCTTTTGTTCATACAACGATGACAGACAAGGACCTCTGGATCAATCTAGAAAGGGCTGGGACAGGTTATGCTTTACAATGGTGGACTTTGTAATGCGCAAACAATCACGAGATTCCAATATAGTCGGTATGAAAATAGAAAGCGTTATAAATATGCCAGACCCCAAATAGATTGTTATTTACATTCGTTGACGTTAAGCTGTTTACTCCAATAATTTCAATATATATTAGCCAACGGCTTGCAAAAACGATTCGTATTCCATTAGCGTATTGACGTATTGTTATCTACGCCTGTGACGTTGAAAGAGCGCGGGAGGCGTAACGATGGCGTGGTACCAACGCTACCGATTTGGCGTCACCAATTTTAGAAGCGTAGCTGAGCGAAAAGTTTATTTACGTGACGGTATCCCCGCCCATTCACCTGACTGTATCTCCGCAAACCAAGAAGCGACACGAATGTTATACGTCATTACTTGTAGCAATAACTACACAAATTAAATAAATACGACATAATTTGGAACGAATTTTGTCTTGGCAGCATCCGTTTTAAAAAAGAAAGTTTAATTTGCAAATCCGTTTTGGCGAAATTAAGAGGCAACTTGAATGAAATATATGATGGATTTTTAGACATCTCCGTCACCAATACCTGTCTTAAACACAATAAAACAGAAAGAGTGCTTAATAGGAACATCACATATCAATAAAACTGAAAACAGAAAAATACCTTCTGTTGATAAAAACATAATAAAGGAGTCCATAAACTACACACAAATTAAACAGAACTATTATTTTAAACAAAAGTATTCATACACCTTCTTTTGTTTTATTACTATGACACCACTTATGTATTGTTATTGAATATAGTAGCATCTTTTCATTGTAAGACAAAGAGATCAATCTCGAGAAGTTTACTTCAAATTTATCTGGTTCAAGGAGGTTTTGAACTATTAAGTGAACGTATGTATTACCTCCTTGGATTTACTAATCATTCGAGAATAAATTCCGAATTACCTACCATATGAAAAGTTATAAATTTTAATACATTTCATTATGACCTCAATACTTTTACATAAAGGCTGCATGAACATTGCCAAACTTGTGGATTTAGTTAGTACATTTATTTAAAGAAATTTCCTTCAAACCTGACAATGAACCGATGTCTTACAAGTTATTTCCAAGGTTTCAACACTTTGACTTTCGCCATTTGTCATGATTTCTCAAGACTCATTTTAGTACTAGAGATGAAGATTGTTTCACAGCGAAGTTTTTACAATATCATATGCGACAGTTCTTCAACAAAATACTTTCTAAACTCATTACTATAATTTATTGAAGTTCCTTGTATTATTGACCATTTTATCATTTTAATTATAATAATAGCTTTAGCATATTTCGCAGTTTCAATCCCCACGACGGGTTGCCCTAGAGTCTAGGGCCTAGACATTACTTATAAGCACCGATAAGGCCATTTGCTTACCACGATATGAATCTGGTTTGCAAATAAGAAACGGAATTACTTTGGAGCTCTCACATAAAACGTTGAATTCACAAATAAATATCATATTACTAGAAGTTCCTAAAGTGGTCACAATAAATTTACGTATCCTTTATGGATCTACGCAATGCACTGAGAGTGAACCGAAATAGGTTGACATCAGGTCAGTAGGTCAGGAAACAAGGCATGCTACTAACATGAGATATTGAATCGCGACCTGCGCAAACCGCAAAAATAAACGATGCGCTGACAATTTTGCACCTGCCGAGCAATTATTACACCTGAGTGAGCACTGATGATATTTCAGCGCTAAAGTATATACAATCATTGCAAGCAATCTTATCATTTCCTGGTAACATAGAATTATTTGTAAACAACAAAATTTTATCAGTCATGAGGTGATAATTTACGAAGCCATTAAAGTGTTATGTTCGAAATTTAAATCCCAAAATACCTTGGGATAAAGTAAATATCAAAACAATAGTATTTTGGAATATAGGTTACGCGAAGCTCGTGTGAACGCTTTGGAATCTTTGGCGCCAGATATTATTAAATCCAATGACACTAAATTATTTTTACAAATATAAATCGTTGCAATATTAAAAATAACAGCACTTATAGTAACTTCCATTTAAAATCTATTTCATATGATTGTAAAAGAAACTGACAGCTTTCTATAAATGATAGCTAGTAAGGAAAATTCCATTTATATAGAAAACGACGCAATTGAAATTTCATATTCATATGAAAGTATATTTGTGAACACATTGCCTATGAAATATTTCTGATGCCAAATGACTAATCATTTCCATTCATAGAAAACCAAAGATAGAATAGTATACTTAATCAATTGTAAATGACCAATGATCTAATACGGGGGATTCACTCGTACAAAATCATAAATAGAAAAATACGATAAATTTATATACATATATTACAAAAGTCTTAAGTGGATTATTTTATATGATGGCGAGGTAACAAAATAGCAATAAAAGCACTTAGCAGCTCTTGAATAACCATATTAGTGGGTGCGGATGGCCTGCCTTTAATCCCGCTGATATTTAGGTTGTTCTGTGGGTTCTGAATAAAATCACCAAAAGGTAAGTTTCAACTAAAATTTAAGAAGAAATCAGTAAATTAATACAATCTACAGCCACGTGTATAAATACGTCTTAAAATAATGGCGTTGCGTGCCGATTAGAATGAAGATGAGAACATTTTAATATTTAACTTACAAACAAAAGACAAATCGTATAGACCTTGAGCTTGACCTATCGAGGAAAAAAAACAATTGCATATTGGTGGCAAGGCATACGCCCACGTCTTATTTCTCGCATAGTAACCGCTTGTCTGGCATGCGATAACATCAATTTAAAACAGACTTGCTTCTAAAAGTAATGCAATACTTGTGTCATGATTTTTGATTCTCTTAATGTTGAATACCGACCAGGCGTCACATTTATTATTCAATTGTTATTAGTTTTTATATAAGTTGAAATTCTGCTTAGGTAAATTCAATCATCGTTATTATGTTATCTAAAATATCATCTACCTATACAAAATATCTTTTAACTAATTTCTACTAGAATGAACAATAATTAATGAACATAAAGATACAAAATGTTACTTACTATACGTTATTATGATAACATCTCTTAAATTAGTTACAATTTTAGTAGATCTACCGAACCATAAAAACTAATAACAGTTCGTTAGTTAGCGATAACATGGTCATTGTTACCAAGTCACGCCTCGCAAAATTGAAATAAAACACAAAGTCAAACAAGTTTCAGCTTACCAAAGAGAGGTCACATTGTTTGGCCAAACAATTGAATAAAATTGAAAACGATATGTCAAATAACACTATCGTGGGATAAAAGTTACCATTAACTGTTCCAATTGGATAATAAAATTATAAATGATAACAACAGTGCGTGTTTGGTATTCAATATTTTAGACCAACGTCCGCATATATTACTCCAAATCATTACCTTAATCCCATTTCCACCAGCTGACACGGGAAACTGTTTTGCCATAAGGCATAAATATAAATATACAGTATTAATGTCGCTTTTAAAAAATTGGGGTTAGTGGTAGAAGGGTGTAAATTTAAAATTATTTGTATTTTTAAATAAATAAAATTAGGTAGGGTGGTATAGCCTTAGTATACAAAATCGTTTAGGTCATATTCTCAAACCTACCGAATATACACATCTAATATATAAAATTCTCGTGTCACAATGTTCGTTCCCATACTCCTCCGAAACGGCTCTACCGATTCTTATGATTTTTTTAATGTATATTCAGTAAGTCTGAGAATCAGCTACTATCTATATTTCAAACACCTAAGTAACAAGGGGTGTCCACCCGAAATTTAATTTTTATTTTTTTAGACAATTTTTTTTGTTTTTAATTTTTTGATACATCATACAAAAATACATAAAACCCTTAATTTTTATCTACCCTCTACGATCAACCCCTATTTTCTATTTGTTAGTTAAGAACTTATAACTTGAACTCTGAGGTTTATATATATATAGAAAAATCACAGAAAAACCTAAAAAGTTTTGATTCCGGAAAACCGAACATTCTCTGGGGTAGCATATGCATTAATGTACTAAAAATAGCTAGGCATTAAGGAGAAACGAAGATCGCGGGCGCAGCTTCGGAGGACCTTGTTAATAAACAATGTGGCACGAGAATTCCATAAATCAATCCAAACTGTTCAATTATGTTCATGAACTTATATTAGTGAAAATAACATAACTAATAAGTCGATAAATAAGTTTTATCAGGACAAAATTAACACCATTAATCAATTCGAAATCTTAGTATGTCTTGATTTCTTTCAAGGACGTAGGATAGCTTAGGCCTAACGGAATATTCCAAGCTTTCTAGAGCCCGACCATGGCTTACGACATCTACATACCATCATTGTTGCCTGTAGCGGTTCGTTTCCAACGTCACTTTCACTTGCGTACAAATTTCTGTGCTATATTCATATTGACTTAATAATAACAAAACAAAGCCGTTATTGCAACAATTTTAAACTATATACATTGCTACAAATAAAAGTTAGACTTTTTGTGATGTTACTTGAAGACAAAAGGATTATAATTATAATTCTGTTATGCATGCATTGTATTTCTTCCTATATGCTTTCCTCCTGTGTACTGTGATGTGTCATCAAACCATTTTTTGCCAACTATCATCTTGTGACACACCAGTAACCAATCCGTCGCAATTTAAGCCAATATATGGTTCAGCATGATGCTAATATTGACTTAAGCTGCCTAGAATTATAACTACTGATTTTATCTTTGGATCAAGAGATATATATAAAGTTTCTTCAACTTAGTTGGTCCGCTATTATACCTTTTATAAGACACGTCCGATTCTTATAGATCAGACCTGTATCAAATATAAAACTTATCAGTTTCCTTCATTACTTCCGCTGCATTTCAGGGTTATTATAAGGTAAAACATTTTACTGCTGCTTTATTATTTAAAAAAAACAATTTCGTTGGGAAATTGTTTTCCGCAACCATATATTTAGTATTGTAACGCAAATCTGACATCCGGTGTACATTTAAACTGAATGGACTTATGTAACAAGATGATAAATGTTTTAAACTCAGGGCTTTTGTGAGCAGTGTAGAGGAATTAGCAGATGTTAAAGCTAAATTCAGAATACTATTAAAAGAAGTAAACATTTACGCAAATTGTATAACCTTGGAGATTAACAGCGATTTAAATAACGTAATAATAAGATAAATTTTTGTATATATAACTTAAACACAGAAGTAAAAGAGGATAAGTGTCTCTATATTATAGCAATAGCATTCAAGGTAATAAAAAAGGTTGTTGAACTTAACAACCAAACAACAAAAGAAAAATTAAAAACAACAGAATGCCATTTAGATCATTGTGCCACTTCACTAATAAAGTCTATAGAATTGCTATGATCAGTATGGTACTAAAAATAAAGTACTTCATTGTTTGAGTGTTTATGATAACATAAGTAGGTATTTGTATTTAAACATATCAGAGTCAAACGCGTGACGCAGTGACCATGAACGTTACAAATTTGGTGGAATTCAACACGTTTACAGCTTATTCATATGACAATATATGAAAAACGTAGGATATTTTATCCGCGTTTTATATAAATTATTTCTTATAAGAACAGTGAATGTATAAAATGAATGACGAATACTAAAGAAACATACGTGACAATAAATTTCCTTGAGCCCGCTCGTGGTGAAATCCCAAATTGGAACAGCTTCGCGACAAAATAGTACGTTCTATCAAAAGCACTAAACACTGCGAGTCTGCTACTGACACAGAATATTACAACACGAGAACCAAACTAGGTAGAGTGATGTACGTTTTGACACACTTAAAAAGCAACACTCCTCGGTATCACAAAAGAATACATAAGCAATACGAAACTGGTTTTCAATTGCAAAGCTGGGGTATGCATAAAATAAAATAAAAATACAGCGTAGAACACACGAACACTTGCTTCTACTAGCGTTGCGCACTGGCGACTGAGACGGCTCGCGAGTCGCGAACCACGAATCAATGTTAGGTATTGTCGTGCCTAGTGTGCGCCCTATCTGTACACGGACGCACACAGGTCCACGGCAGATCGAGGGACTGTCTACCCTGGTTGGTGTTGAGCCTACCTGTTCGACTACTATCACAGATTGTTCCTTTCATACATTGACGCGAAGTAATCACGCAATTTTATCAAGCAAACCCTTTTAACCGGTCAAAAGAAAAATACAAGAATCGATATACAATAATAATAAAAAAAGTGGATAAGCTTGATTTAAACCTAATAGTAGTTAGAATATAAAAATATTATGAAAATTTAAATAAATGAAACTCAGTCGATAAGGAAAATAAAAATGCAGTCTTGTCACTTGTGACTTGAAAGGTAATCAATTAATATTCGTCATGAATTATTTATAACCATTGTAACATGTATTTGCAGATATAGTTTATAATGCAGTAAAAGAAGTCATTTTCCTTTATACTTTGTTGACCAAAAAAATAACAAAATAACTGTCCAAAAGGTTGTTACGTTTTTAGAAAAAAACGCTAATTTTGGAAATTCGCGTCAATAATCGTTTTTTATCAACAGATAATAAATGTGTTTATTACTGGTGATGTTACTAATCCTATCAATAGCAATAATATGAAAACAAAAACAATATTAATGTAATCACTAAAAACCTAAGTTTTATGAAGCAGTTTTACTTACAAAATAATTCGCATACAAAGCGCAGTGCTATTAAATTCATAAAATTATTTTACATCATTACAAATCGATTTTACACAGTTTTTATGGATTTGTTCAAAATTCTAATATAAACTATCGTATAATTTCGTTGTTTTATATATTGGTTTTACCCAGACTTGTATCCTGTAGATTGTATCCTTCGGTAAAACGGTGCAATAAGACTAAATTATTATTTTTAGAATAAGAGCTTATTCATATATATTTAAAACTTATAAACGATCTTTAAAAAAATATGCATCACAAATCAACAAAACACCGATACTGCTACGTGAAACGTCTAAAATATTACTTAAAATGCGTTAATTTAAATCATTTAACTGGCCTTTCTTATTTTAGAGTATAAAAAAAAATTACCTCGTCAAATTGTTGAATATGATTTCCGCAGATATCTCCGCTAAGTCCAGTGGACGTGCGGCGCGCACCTGAGATCATCATGATTTAAATCAAGACTACCGTCAAGACGTCTGAACAACTGATAGCCGTATCATTAGATAACATATCCAGTTCTTTGTGCTTTATCAATAGAAAATATAATAACAAACGCCGTATAATCTAAAACATGCCATTGATTAAATAATAAGGTAATTTATATTTCAATTTGGTGCCCTTCAACAGCGCTGATACATTTTATTGCAGTTTACTAAACTATTGTAAACTGAAAGGAGTTCAATGACCTGAGCTTCCTTAAATCAGTAGTTATGCGGTATCCTTGCAGGTGCATCCATCATACATTATTTATATATTAACCCAATCGACGTCTTTGAAGTATTGTTAATATGAAGCTCTTTCAGAAGCGCAATATTTTAACAAGAATATTAAAATTTGGGCATACTTAATATGAGATTATATACGTAAATATTATAAATTAAAAATATTTACACAACTTTATTAATGTAACTCATAATCCGACTTATCATGTGAGAAGACTTAATCTTCGGTATTACACAAAAACAAATAATTTTTATTAACAAAGTAATATTCCATTGCATACTGTTGTATTTTTAGAAATAATAAATTAATATGTAATGTAAATATGTATTTCAATACTTTTAAAAATAAATATTGACATTATCCTAAATTTCCGACGAATTAATCATGTCTCTTTGGAGCTCGCACAAACCATGTACCAGGAAGAAATTCTTACTTTCGTTCAAGATTATAATTATTATTTATATTCGTAAAACTTTGTACAACAACATCGACTACCAGTTCCCAAATCAAGGTCAAGCGAGAGGAACTGGAAAGAAACTCTCCTAAAGGAGTGATGTTTCAGTTCTTTATTTAGTTCGTTGAGGTGATAATTCGGTGCAAACATTTTCGAGGATCGACATTAAAATTTTCTAAATTTGCCTGGGGAGGAAAAAATTTCTAAATTTGCCTGGTGAGGAAAAATTTAACATAAACTTTAAGAAGGAAATGTTAACTGCTTCTATTAAAAATAAAAATGTTCCAAAAAATTTCCTGTTACATATTTTCGAAATTGTGACTCACGCATAAGGATTTAGAGCGTTTATTAATCAATTAACCTTGGCGTATCGGTGAAATAAAATTGAATTCGCGTGCCAAACAAGTGTTATCAAAAAAATTATCATACAATGATTTGACGACATCCTTAAAATTGTTATCAGTGTTAAAACAAAACAAATTTGTATGAATAATTATTGTATATATGTCGATAACTAAAAACAAGAAATAATACGTTGGTTTAGATACGTATTCAACATGTTTCATGTCCATCTCAAGTCATGGTTAGTCGCCTATAACCTCGACGTCCGTCGTTCCACAACTGAGCGTTTTTAAAGGAAGTTTAAGCCGCGTACCACTGGATACACATTACACACTCACACACAGCTACCCATTAAAGTATTTCCGAACCAATTCGACTAAGGATCCTTTAATGAAAGAGCGTACCAATTCTTTAAAAGGCCGGCAACGCGAGCCCTCTGACATTAAGTGTCCATGGATGGTATCACTTAACATCAGGTAAGCCTCCCTGTTCTATAAAAAACAATTACAACTGTATAAATGGCTAATCCTTTTACTATCCTTTTATATTTCAATTATATTGTGTATACCAAGGGGTATGAAAGTTAGTCAGACCTCAAACGTTTAAGTTTGATTTTATTTAAAAAATTATATATATCTGTACATAAGATATACACTGGTATCTTTATAACAACGTATTCTTATCTATCATTTTATGTGATGTAATAGACGCTGCACTGGAAACATCGATCGAATTGCTTATACAAAATGCACGAATGCTCTAAATTCTAACCAATTCAAGGTTTGAATGAGTATTGAAAGGACAAATTGGATTCCAATTGGAGCCAAGGCTGCATAGTAACGCAAGAACCGTTATTTATTCCCCTGCCTTAGAAGTACTTAGAAATCATTAAAATCAAACAAAACCACCATAACGCTCTTTTAGATTAGGCCCTATATCACAAATCTTAAGAGATAGAGTACATGACAAACAAACCAGATATATTTTTGTTTTTATTTACAATCAAACACAAAAAGAAAAACAAAACTAGTTCGCAATATTTCCGCATTTACACCTCTCAATACGAACGGAAATAATCATACCACAAACAAACCAATTCCGAATCTGGACGAGAGCCTACGAAAACATCAGCCGAGCTATTTGAGGCAACACTTAGTAGAAGCTAGCTATGAAAGTAAACACAACTACTATGATAAACAATATAATTCACGGTCGAAAGTAAGAATTATTATTTGCCATCTCTACGAAAAAGAATATTGCCTAGCTAGAAATGAGGGTAGATGATTACCCGCCTCTACACAAAGGTTTATATGCAAGGGTTGGAGCTATGCATAATTTAGCGTTGAAACCACAACGGTGCATCACAAGGCAAGCTAGAGGGGTTGATGTAAAAATTATACCTGGATGGCTGGAAAATATTATCAATTAAAATGCATTGGGGAGCGTTCAAGTATTACGTAACGAATTTTGGGGGGGGAGGCCGTTTGTAAAACGTTACTATGCGGGGCGGGGATTGAATTACGCGTTGTTGTTGATATTATTTTCGACTTTGCAGTACTTTACACCACATAATGGTAAATTTTAGGTATAAAGAGTCACTAGGTGGTCACGAAACGTTTTAGTATACTTGGATAAAGTACTGTAGGTACTTGGGTACAGAAAAACGTTACGGCGCGTTACATGGGGGGGTCAACAATCTCCAAAAATTGCGTGACGTGATACTTACAAGGGACGCTCCCTTGTAAGTATCACGTCACGCACCCTTGGAAGAAACAAATTTATATTAGATTATTATTAGTTCATCTCATTATTTTTAAGTACATCTTAAAACATTTGAGCTCCAAAGGCTTATGCAAAATAATAATTTCCGATTTCCAATTATATAGTACCTTATTTTGGTCACTAATCATAAAACTTTATTACTATTAGTTATTTTATACAAAAAAAATCCCACGCTTAATTCTACATCAAAAATTCCTAATAAATTCTGGAAAGGTCTAGCACCTACGCATTGGGCGGTACTTTTCAGCAAACCTCCGCAGTGGTCCACCCACACACCTTGCATCCTACGTTTATTCATACCCCCACGCTTTCAATATAGACTTCGTTTAGTGACGTCATGAAATCTGTAAAACATCCCTTAGGTATTGTTTCGGGAAGTTACGGAAGTTTATTTCAATTAATATCAATCATCACGAACACACACAAATGCAAGTTATTAGTATGTACTTTCACCTTATCGCCAACAATGTTTATTTATTTAAATAAGGTACGGCAGAATTTTATGTACGGGGAATAAAATCATATACATCTTCCACTTTTGTCCTTTTTCTTGATAACCGAGGAGGAAATGCTAATTGCGCATTCCCCGCACGACCTGGGCCTCTACTCACAGCAGGCATCCTGTGCTACTCAAAGCCGGGTGTGCAATAACCATTGTAGAATTCCTCGCATGCATCCCGCCCTACTGTATGACTCCCGGGATCGACTTCGCATTTTACCAGAGCCAGGAGCTTGTGCTATAGGTGGATGTAGATCTAGGTCTAGACGTTTCAACCTAGTTTTCTTTTACAGGACAAGGGTATAGCTAGCACCTGATTATCTTATACACCCTCTCATACAATGATTGTAACCCTTCCCTTCTGTTATACCGACTATTTTCGTTAGTGAAAATAAATAGACCCCAAAGACCAGTACCACTTTTTAGAGGCTCAGAATCTATTATGGAACTACGAGCAGAAGTACGAAATCAATTATATTTAATTAAATTTCAAAGTAAACCAACTGAAACTGCTTTCAGACTGCAACGGGATGAGTAAGCTGTCATTTTAACGATGACATATCTGGCGATGATATAATATATGAAACAAATTTATTGAAATTAAAAAAGTACTGTGTGTATTCCTATAGACCTACAATGAAGTAGAATAACTCCTTTTCTTTGTGATCTTTTCAAGGGTTTGTGCGCATCACAATGACGTACTTAGCACCTTGTGGCGATATATGTATATTATAATATGTTTAATAATAGTACTAGATAATTTAAAAAATCCAGTGACGGTATAACTCTTGGTCATAGCCTCTGTATGTTTCGTGAAAAAAAAAATCAAGTGATCAGCCTTCTGTGCCCGAGATACGCTGTCTTACTTTTTAGGTCTATGGCATACCGGTTGCGCAAATATATCGTAAATTCCATTGGTGCACGCACAGCAGGGGCTTCGATCCTATGACCTCAAGAGAGTTGCACTCTGGAGCCACTAAGGGAGCGTTCAAGTATTATGTAACGAATGTTCTTCCTCTTGTAAAACGTTGCGGAGCGGGAATTGAATTACGCGTTATTGTTAATATTATTTTCATTTTCCAGTACTTTTCACAACATAATGGTAACTTTTAGGTATAAAGAGTTTGGTCACAAAACATTTAAACTATTTGGTACAGAATAAGGTTACGGCGTATTACATGGAGGGAGGGGTCAAGAATCTCCAAAAAACACTAGGTTATTTTATTAAATATTACAGCATCTTGCAGAAACGCCCTTTTCCTAGCACATATTTTTCAAGGTCGGCACTCGTCGCATTGCGTAATAGGATTTTCCCCCGACAACATATTTTACGAAAGGTTAAATTAATCAGAATTAGGGTTCATACAACCTTTCAAGGAAAATTTCTCGAATATGTAGACAATTTACTTTGAAAGAAACCTGGTTAAATTGTATTCCGCTAATAGCATTCTTTGTGACCGAAATTTAAACGATCGGCATTCCAACTGAGCAAAGAAAGCTCCACAAACAAACATATTTATAAACTAAAAAAATCCAAAATCGTTGCGCATTTTGCCTCTCCATTTATAACTTGATTTTACTATTTCTTCTGCTACTGTGTTTTTAATAATAATAATTTATAGCAAGAATATGGTACAAAAATGTGTC